GGAACACAGACATTTTATAGCTAGAACACTAGAAAGGCGCGCCACCGATATATGCTGCGTCCCCCGACCAAACGTACCAAATCTAAGTACAGTCATTCAATTAACCTTAACTCGCCAACATAAAGAACCGGCACGACTTAACATTTGCATATAAAGTTACACGGATATCATTTGACCTAATTAGAAGTCACAGCACGTGTCAACTCCCCATTCTGGTTGCTTGGAAATAATGGGTAACTGGAGTTCCGTTGAACTGATCGTTAGTGTTCTGTTCATCGTTATAATCTCTTGAACTGAGAGTAGATCATGGTTCTATCTTCTTCAATCTCACTAACTATTGATTTTTTATAAGCCGTTTCCTTGATGAGTCGGTATAGTTGCCCAGTATTACCTATCACAATTGTCTTTTCCATCTATCTTGCTTTCATTAGCGATTCCTCCTTACGATCATTAGTTTTCGTTTAATTTGTCTTCCCTCTTCATTTTTCTCGAAATCCGATGAATTCGTGCGCAGTCATTAATCAAGTAGGAGTTTCGTAAATCCAATCACCTTTCCTAATCTTTCGATTGTGACTGATATCATATCTGCATTTAAATCTGTTTGAGTATCGTTTCAAGCTTCTTTGAGATGAACCTTTTTCCTATAATCGACTAAATGCCTAGTTAATTTTCCCTTCACTCCATTATCAAACGTTTCGCTGGTGTTCAATCGCATAAATAGCAAGCACTCGAAAATGAACAATGTTTATATTTGGTAGAGTGCCATTGAGCAGAACTTTACTCATAATCAGGTGTAGAAATCCCGCTGCACATATCAGAAGTCTACACTGATCTAATATGATTTGCCAGTTCACTTCACAGAATCCAAAGCACTGTGTTAAAAAGGTTTTCTTCAAACGAAAACTTTCGGAAAGCTGTCTCGTAAATTATCATTTAACATTGGCACCCGCCAGTAATATAAAATCTCGTCTTTGTTTCGTGTCAGTGATTCAATCTCACCTTCACAAATAATCCTGACGCTAATCTTTTACGTAAATATCTGTAACTAATGTAAGGGATGTGTCGCGCATACAGTACAAGTACAGGCGACCTTTGTCAGTTTTCTAAACATTTTAGTATATGGTGAATTTCGAATAAATAGATTAGTAACTGATAATAGCGTAGTGCATCTCGCGTATCGATCAAACCATAATGATATTAACCTTGCTTGAAAATATCTCAAGCAAATAGACCACAAATCCGTAAGTGTTTGTGTTCGTGGAGAATTTAACGCAGAATTTGTCTAATTTTTCCTCGTAAATTTGACTGTTGTCTCCATAGGTACCTTATGTGAAGGAACAAATACCGAAATGCATAAACGGTCTTTGAATACCTATCGATACTGTTGTTGTGTAAGAAAATCGATTATTAGAATGAAGTCACGCTCAGATTATTTATTTATTACCAATGCCCGCTTTTCTCATTTAACAGTTCGGTATGAAAGTGTTTTGTTGTGAAACGAAAAAGTGATTGGGATGTTGAGTTGTCAAAAGTTTTAGGACTTCGAATTGTGTTTCTATGCGATCGAATTATTGCATTACATATTTCTTATGATCAATAGGTAATTGCTACATTTGTCATATTCGTTATTATATGCTAAGCTTTTGGAGAATTCAGCGAAAGGAGATCAAGATTGTGTTTTGTTGTTGGGCTTGACGAGTCGATAGTTGATAGATTTTTATTAGCTATCAGTAATGCATTGCCAGATGTATCGCAATACGATCTCGACCGTCAAATGAATCCAACAACAAAACACAATCTTGATCTCCTTTCGCTGAATTCTCCAAAAGCTTAGCATATAATAACGAATATGACAAATGTAGCAATTACCTATTGATCATAAGAAATATGTAATGCAATAATTCGATCGCATAGAAACACAATTCGAAGTCCTAAAACTTTTGACAACTCAACATCCCAATCACTTTTTCGTTTCACAACAAAACACTTTCATACCGAACTGTTAAATGAGAAAAGCGGGCATTGGTAATAAATAAATAATCTGAGCGTGACTTCATTCTAATAATCGATTTTCTTACACAACAACAGTATCGATAGGTATTCAAAGACCGTTTATGCATTTCGGTATTTGTTCCTTCACATAAGGTACCTATGGAGACAACAGTCAAATTTACGAGGAAAAATTAGACAAATTCTGCGTTAAATTCTCCACGAACACAAACACTTACGGATTTGTGGTCTATTTGCTTGAGATATTTTCAAGCAAGGTTAATATCATTATGGTTTGATCGATACGCGAGATGCACTACGCTATTATCAGTTACTAATCTATTTATTCGAAATTCACCATATACTAAAATGTTTAGAAAACTGACAAAGGTCGCCTGTACTTGTACTGTATGCGCGACACATCCCTTACATTAGTTACAGATATTTACGTAAAAGATTAGCGTCAGGATTATTTGTGAAGGTGAGATTGAATCACTGACACGAAACAAAGACGAGATTTTATATTACTGGCGGGTGCCAATGTTAAATGATAATTTACGAGACAGCTTTCCGAAAGTTTTCGTTTGAAGAAAACCTTTTTAACACAGTGCTTTGGATTCTGTGAAGTGAACTGGCAAATCATATTAGATCAGTGTAGACTTCTGATATGTGCAGCGGGATTTCTACACCTGATTATGAGTAAAGTTCTGCTCAATGGCACTCTACCAAATATAAACATTGTTCATTTTCGAGTGCTTGCTATTTATGCGATTGAACACCAGCGAAACGTTTGATAATGGAGTGAAGGGAAAATTAACTAGGCATTTAGTCGATTATAGGAAAAAGGTTCATCTCAAAGAAGCTTGAAACGATACTCAAACAGATTTAAATGCAGATATGATATCAGTCACAATCGAAAGATTAGGAAAGGTGATTGGATTTACGAAACTCCTACTTGATTAATGACTGCGCACGAATTCATCGGATTTCGAGAAAAATGAAGAGGGAAGACAAATTAAACGAAAACTAATGATCGTAAGGAGGAATCGCTAATGAAAGCAAGATAGATGGAAAAGACAATTGTGATAGGTAATACTGGGCAACTATACCGACTCATCAAGGAAACGGCTTATAAAAAATCAATAGTTAGTGAGATTGAAGAAGATAGAACCATGATCTACTCTCAGTTCAAGAGATTATAACGATGAACAGAACACTAACGATCAGTTCAACGGAACTCCAGTTACCCATTATTTCCAAGCAACCAGAATGGGGAGTTGACACGTGCTGTGACTTCTAATTAGGTCAAATGATATCCGTGTAGCTGTAAATACGACAAGGACATCTATAAAGAGGTCATATTTAAAGGTTAAAAGAGATCAATGAATTTCGGCTGCGTTTTATGAATTGATAGAAAGTCGAAAATGTATCTTGTAGGAGTTAGAAAACGATGAAGAGCGACGACTCACACGTATTGTAACAAAAGGCGTATGACCTTCAGCAATGATGGGCACTTAATGTGAAAGATGGAAAAGGCATCGGTGATAGGCAGCAATAAATAGCTTGATCGACTAATCAAGGAAACAGACATTAAATACACTTGTTAGGTTCTAGACAATCTGTAAGGAGGGATAGCAGTGGATTCAAATAGATAAACACTACATTTTTAATCCATCTGTTTCAGTTCAGATGAAAGAACTAAAATCGCCTTGTGATAATGAGAGGAAGTGTGGCCTATATAGTGTCAACAATACTAAGATCTACAACCATTCGACGCAAATCCGGAAAAACCAGTTTGGTTCCACGCCAGGTCATGGATGCATTGACCAAATATTCACTCTTCGTTATGTCTTAGAACATACTCATACTTACCGACGCTTGATATTTAGGTAGCTTTTGACTCGGTTTTCAGGTTTTGTGGTCTTGTTTGTGATTGAAAAGTGTATTAAAGAAGGATATAAGTCTTGTGGAGATCATTTACCAAGACATTATCAGTTAAGTTAGAACTTAAGACAAACTGTCAATCTCAAGTGCAGTTCATTAGTGACTGCCCACTATCTCCATTTTTATTTAACTTCGTAATTGATGTCCTTCGAAAACTAAAACAATCCTGGCACTATCAAGTGAGTAATTTCAAGGTTAGGCATAGGACACTAGGCAAAGGTGGCAAATCAGTTGACAAGGTGAACTTTTATCAATTGAGGTGGTTACGACATGCATCATCTAAGCCGATTCACCGATTAACTTGAAAGGTCTTTTTTGATTTAGGAGTAGGTTGGAAGCTATCAGATCTTGACTGGAATTGATCCATAAAGTCACTGATTGTTGGTCTAACCCATGATGGTAAATGAAAGCAACTTGGCCGGGGGCCATGCAATAACTGAGATCAGTGGCTGGAAACTTTGGGTGACATGACTTATAATTGTTCACAGTGGCAAAGATGTACTTACTCTTTATCTTTCTATCGATATTAAATTTCAGTACACCTTCATAGATACCTCTCTACTATGCCTTTTCGGACCGTTTTCTCAATGGTTAGTCCTTTTCATTGTCAGTTCTACTTTATTAGTCTCATTTCTCATACACCTTGCTAATTTCATCGCTTTGTGCTAATGTGGTATGGCGATACGGGCCAACGAACAACTATGCCAAGCTCCACGTTGATAATGTACGACAAACTGTCATATCTTCATTTGAGTGCCACTAAACCTGCTACTTATTTCCGTGAGAGCCAGTGCAGTATATGGGAGAAGGTAGTAATTACACAAGCCCAACGGATATTTAATCGCTCTGTTTTGCAAAGACTCACTATATGATCGACCACTTTACAGTCTCTGGCTAGTACCGTATGCCCAACCCAAGAACTGACTGATAGCTCAATGGTTGCACGTACTACACAGATATTACTCAATGCATTTAGAAACTGAAACTTGAAGTGTTCAATCGAAATTTCTTTGAATTTAATATTCGTATAGTCTTGTAAGTAAACATACCACAGTAAATTAACTCACCTCAGCAGATGTGAACTTAATTGATCCATATACGGGTACTAAGACCTCTCGACAAGATCGTTTAAATTTACGTAGGTGAGAGTTGTCTACACGTGGACTTGATGATACTGATTTTTCTCTTAACTTGCGAACATTCAGTTGATGCTCTTCTGACTCCAAATGTTTCAGTTTCATTGAACTGAATATTACAAATTGACAAATATTGCACTGATAAAAAACAGAAGTTGAGCTTTCGTCACTTGATGGTGACATCTAAAATACATTGAGAAACTGCATACTGTGAAAGATATCCATTAAAAATTAGGAATATTATTGGTGTGAATAATTTTTCAGAAAAAAAACGCTGTTTAGTGAATGATGCAGATAGAAGTAAATAAGTGACAAAGCATCCAGATATATGAACAAACTTTAGTGGTCTTACATATGACTCCAGTTAGATCGTATGCTGATTACTACCGAAATATGTATCCAGCGACCCGCGTAAACAGTGATCGCGTTAGTGAATAACGGAATTATATAAGTCAAATACGAGGATAGATTTTGAATGCATATACTTTATAAAACCGTTGATCCAGATAGACGACCAGAGAAACGAAGCGAAGAGAAAAGAGCGGAACGAAACGAGATGACTCGCAGTGAGCCAGCTCCATTTTATAAAGCTTTACTCAATATTTATATTCAGACAAAAATAAATTACAGACAAGTAATGAATAGGACAAGTAATTAACACACATACGACCATATCAAAACAGTCATGGTTGATAAGTGAATAATTGATAAGCTCAAAATGTGGCTTGGGATGAATGAATAAATTCGCCTATCCAGAAGCTAAAATAACCTATGTGGGTTTGATAAAGTACAGTAACTAAAAAACAGAGTGCTGATAGCGAAACAGATAAGATAAAGACCGAACACGCTAGCTAACAAAAATAAGTAAGCGTTTCAACCAGAGTACAGAGCGACGGTGATATTAAGATCTATTAACTTAGTCACATTAATGCCGACTAATACGCGGTGGATTTATTTGCTTAAGTGCCGTGAACTAGTTATTACCAATATTTTTTATTTATTTGAACACAAATATTGGTACAAAGGGGAACCGAATACATATGCACTATACAAGTCTTCAGTCAGCTACAATGTAGCACCATGCACATATGTGCATCGGTCCAGGTTGCCATACCTCATTAGCACAACAAGATGAACACCGGATTCATAGCAGTGGTTAGGTCAAAGGTTGAAATAAGGATATAGTATAGGAAGGAAGAATTAGTTCGTAGAAAGAAAGATATGAAGTGATTTTAATCTCTTAGTTTAAGGGAAGATAGGGAGTGTATACACCGACGCCATTGTGATCGATTCTGAGTCATGTCACCAAGAGTCTCCAACCATTGGTTACGAAAATCACGCGGACCCCAACCAAGTAGTCTGCATCTATCAACATGGCTCAGACCAGAAGTTAGTGACTTCAAACACTGATGCCACGTTTTGGTTTGGCCGCCCCTAACTTTCTTCCAACCATCCCCTACACCGGTTAGCATTGCACGTCGTGGTAATCGGTGTTCAGGCATACGTAACACGTGACCCAACCATTTCAGTCGATGAAGATTCACAACCTCATCAACTGATTTACCATCATTCCCTAATACCCTGGGTCTAACCTCACTATTACTTACCCGGTGATCCCAGCAGATGCGAGCAATATTTCTAAGGCATCTGTGATCAAGTACTAGTAACTTACGAATATCTTCTACTCTTAATGGCCATGTTTCGCTGCCGTAAATTAAAACAGAACGGACTGCCGCGCAGTATACTCGTCCTTTTATTGATAGACGGATATCTCGCCTCCGCCAAAGGTGACGTAAGTTGGCAAAAGCCAAACGAGCTATTCGAATCCGTGCTGAGATTTCGTCCGATACCAACCCATTAGGGCTGATCAGACTCCCAAGATAGGTGAAGTTTTCAACGCGTTCGACTACTTCACTCCCTATCCTTAGTACAGGTGTTAACGCAGACCAGTCCTGAAGCAACAACTTGCATTTAGAGGGAGAGAAGCGCATTCCAAACATTCTGGCACTGTTACTTAGTGCTACTAAAAGACTCTGCATTTTGTCAGCGACTTCACCAAACAGGACTATGTCATCTGCGTATTGTAAGTCGATAAGTGGACCTCCTGGAAGGAGATCAACGCCCGAAAATTCAGTCGATGAGAGCGTTATTTCCATCAGTAAGTCTATGATGAAGTTAAACAAAAATGGAGAAAGTGGACAGCCTTGACGGACACCACTTGAGGTTGCAAAAGTAGATGACAGTTCGCCATAAGCTCTGACTCGACTGGTAGTGTACGAGTAAAGAGCCTTCACAAGGTTTATGTACTTCTGAGGTACACCTTTCAATGACAGACACTGCCACAGAATCTCGCGGTCTACCGAGTCAAATGCTGCTTTTAAGTCGAGAAAGACCACCATTGTCGGACGCTGATAAGTATGTCTGTGTTGTAGAAACTGACGAATGGCCAGCTGAACTGTTCTCTGAAATGTTCCGACAATCGTTCTAAACGTCTGGACTGAGAGCAGATGAGGGTGTCGTCTTTTTCCGAAATAGTCTGACTTACACTTGATTTATTAATTCCAGTTTCTTTTATTAGTCTGTAGAGCTGTCTTGTGTTACCTATAGCCGCCACCTTTTCCATTTCTTTTGCTTTCGTTGCCCACCACTGCTTACGGTCGTTCTTAAGACTTTTGCCTAACCTAGATCTGATTTGTTGTCGTGTTTAGAGCCTGATGGGATGAGTTTATGAGAATCCATCAGTGCAATAGACCTTGAGGAAATTCATTGGTTCTTTGTAACCCTGCGGTTTAAGTCATTGATAGATGTCACTGCTGTTTGTATAGCTTTCCAAGCAACATCTGGGTCAACCTCGTTTTCAGAACTACCTTATTGTGACCTCAGTTGTTTCTGGAACCTACTTTTGGTTTTCTCACTACTCAATTCAGTTCTAATGGCTCTTTTTAGTGTGGCTTTTTTGCGTCCAGTGAGGCGCAAGCAGATGCGTGCCCGTATTAAGGCATGGTCGGAGTCCAAGCAGGTACTCCAGAATGAGCAACAATCTCCTACCGACCCTCTCCAACGATGACTGATGGCAATATGGTCTATTTGTGTCCATCGTTGGTTTGTTGTATGGGGTCGCCATGTTAGACGATGCCTCTCCTTATGCTTGAAATTTGTGTTTCCTAAAAATAAACGATTGTCTGAGCACAGTTGCAGCAGACGATCACCATTATCTGTTCGTTGTGCCGGAATATCAAAATAGCCACCTAAATGCCTTTCTGTTTGGTTTAAACTACCTATCTGGGCATTAAAGTCACCTGCTACGAGTACAATGTCTGAACGTTTAGCTTTCTGAAGAAGTTCAGATAGCTTTCTGTAAAATTCATCTTTCATTTCATTTGAGCTGCAGTCGGTGGGAGCGTAGGCAGAAACGACTAAAAGGCAACGACGTGAGTCCCTACCCTTCCGAGTTCTTACGGAGCCGTTTAGCCAAACAGCACATAAACGACTGTTAACAAGGATCAATTCTAACAGTGCTTGTTCCGCCCTCATGCTTAGTCCTATGCCTACACCTGCCAGTTCACGAGAGCTGGCCAACGGGTCACCAGATACACGGAGGATGTATCTCGCTGGCTCTCCGTTTTGCCGAGGTTAGGTCAAGTGAATGACCACACTGGGATCCTGTATGTGTATTTCAGAGACACAGCATACATCAATGGTACGAGATTCTAGGGTTCTAGCCAAGGAATCCTGTTGACCTATTTGACACAGGGTGCGTACGTTGAAGGCTTCAATGTGTAGTTTGGAGCGAAGTTTCAGTAGACCTGGGACAGTGTTTTGAGCACTAGAATCGTTGGCTATGATGACATTTGAGGAGGAAGCCGAAAAAAGTAAGTTTAGATGTGAAAGTCGATGTAGGAGGAATAATAGGAAGTGAAGACGGAGGTTGATTATAAATACAGTGGTCTTGAGTGCTGTTAGAGGTATGAGGGTGGTTATCACCTCCCGGTTGCCCACACCGTGGAAGGGTTATTCTTGAGGAACCTGAAAAGGAAATTGGATTAGTGTTGGTCTTCACGACCTGGGAGCGTGACCGCAGAGCCCAAGGGACAACTGCTTGAGGTCGGTCACACACGACCTTATTATGGGTAAGTTTTGTGTTGGCTCCGTACTTGTTGAGACCTTAACGCCGGAGACGGATATCCGTGAGATAAGGTGAGGTGTGCATTTTTAGGGTCAACCTTTTCTGACCCCACCCCTCCTTATGGGAAGGCAGCATCGCTGTCATGCTGGTTGTCTGAAGGAAACACCTTACTGCTGTCACACCTTTGTACAGTTAGCAGTACGACTTCGCCTTCGGATCTTGGGTTTGTTGCTTTTAGTCTTACCGCTCTTCAACCGACCTGTCTGACATGGTAGGACCTTGAGGAACAGTTGTTCCAGCCAGTATAGCTCGATTGCTTCATCACGATAGGCAAGCCCGACCACCACGTCAAGGTAGCAACAACGGTCGGGACACAAGTCATTTTATTATTTATTTAGACACATAAACATTGGTACAAGAGGGCACCAAATACATATGCGCCACATAAATCATTAGATTTTAGTATGGGCTGTGATACTGTCCGTGTGCCCAGACCGAAGTAGGTGGTATTCTTAGGGGCCCACACCCGCAGCCTTGGACCTAAAGGTCTGACTTACAGGGCAGTGGAGGAACGTCAGGAGATGCAGTCCCATGGTAGCCGGTGACCAACGATTGGTTCATACGCCATTTGTTCCTTCAGGATACTGGAGCCTATGTACACCACTGATTTGGAATCTGGGTTTCTCAACTCCCTTAGGTGGACTCACAGCGCCCACCGGCCCGGTTAAAACGCCGGACATTCGCTTTTTGTCCTCTTAATTTCGTAAACAACACTCCAGCCACGAGAAGGCAGTGAGTAGGACTTGCCTGGCAGAGGCTGTATACGCGTGGCTGTATGAGAGCAGTTCGAGAGGGATGGTGGGCTCTTCTCACTCTCGGCCGAAGTAGGGTATATATATATATATATATATATATATATATATAAACTGTGGTTCCGATTCCAGTATACGAACTTGTACTTCAGTTAGTTACAACTAACGTAGAATCTCGTGCAGATATCTGTTGCTCTAACTTGTCACAATTCAAATCAGCATAGGGATATGAAATCAACGAGATCAATGGCCAAGGAAACCACAGTGATATAAACAACCAGTGAAAATTTGTCACTTAAAAATCCGAACTAACGATATTATGAAATTTCACTGTTCGATTCCGGTGAATTTATAACCGTGCATTAATCCACCACCGTAAGTCCATGATAAAAGATAGTGCTTTCTAATTTATTCAGTTGTTTATGAACCACCAAATTCTATACGTTAATTTGTCAACATGAGTAATTAATTAATTAACAAATTTACGGATTTCGCAGCAATAATCGGAGGAAGAATAGGTTAAAAATCTATGGGTGGTAGTGTCAAAACATGGAATTAATCTCCTGAATGTCGGTTTAGGTTGTACACAGACGTAGACTCTCTAAAACTGTCACGCGTAATACCCATAATCTGTGGTAGGAGATGGGTTCCATAGATCACAACTGAACTCGCTATATATCTTCCTCTTGAACCATATTTTTTTAATTTTCCACCTAGTGTATCAATTCTTCTTCTATGCTTGTCATTTCCTATCTAGTTGTGATGTGGGGTATTGGGAGTCAAAACCGAGATACATTTTTAATTCTTTTACTAACTTAGAGAATTTATTTATTTATTGGTGTAATTGGTTTTATTCATACCCGAAACAGGGAAGATACAAACGAATAAAAACAAGTTGTGCCATATCTTACTGCTGTATCGCTTGAAGACAGACTGGAAACTGAATTAAGATTTATTTTACTTTGGTGTTTGCGACCACGAAGGTGAGAAGTATATTGATCTGAAGAATTCATATGTATACCGCATAAGTTGCAGGTAAAGGAAATTTCGGAAGCTGAAGATAACTGGTTTGACTTTGTCCAATTTGAACTAGAATCAATGAAACCTACGTATGAAGAGGATTCTTGATCACAGATTGAATTTCTCATCGGCCCTGTAAAATAAGAGGTGGTATCTAAGAATGAATCTTTCGGTGAGCCCGAATCAGGAGTAACTAGTGTTGGTAAGGAAATTTTTAGGGGATAATTAATATGATCCACTATGTTTAAACTGTCTAAAGCAAGACATTTAGAGCGATGTTTTCTCCCCGTTTCATGAGCTCGTAGGACATTCTCAGTGTCACACCATATATTGCAAACACTACACGAAAATCGATGAGGATTCATCTAAAGAATAATAAAAAATCTGTAATTAACAGCAGTTAGTAAACTGTATGTACGTTTATAAAACAAAATCATTTAATATGTTATTTTACTTACAATCATTAAAAAACGGTCAAGGTTGTAACTGAATGAACGACAATGTCATAACGTGTGGATAATGACTCAAAAGAAACAAACTAATTGGTCTGTTCAAAAGCCAGAATAATCCATGCAGGTATGACGTAGTACTGAATACTATACTTTTTACCCTTCAGTTTTCAAGAAGAACTGCTTAAACTAGGATCATGTACACTGAATTTTACTATAGTTGAATGCTTGAAGTGGTTATTTTTTCAGAACCCAAGTAACGGTTGGTGAATTTGTTGGAAATAACTACTTGTCCCCAACACTACAAAACCTAGTCGATCATCTCGTTTACGTCTAGATTATTTTGATATTGTTGGAGTTAAGAATAACTGACCAAGACTACTTATTTTTATCGATCATAGTCATCCGTAGTACTTTCGTACAATTATGTCACTCACTATGTCTACTTATATGTCGCAAGAATTTCAAATGAGAGTAGAGATGCAAACTAAATTTAAACATTAACTTGCTGAAAAAGTGAGATAATTAAAAAAGAGCCACAACAAACGTCTAGTTTATTTCTCCAAGTAAACAAATTTCATTATAGATCATCTTGTGTAACTGCACTGAAGTGACTAGTGTAATATCACGTAACGTATATATGTTAACCATGGCGTATGAGTCAGTTCCCTTATTGAAAATAGAAAAGATGAAAAAAACTGAAGAGGACCGTATTTACTCTGTAACATTTGAATGTAATTTGTAGTCCAATGTTGATATCATAGTAGTTAGTTTTGGATAATTTAATGAAGCCACGAACAATTGGACTGGGCCATATACGTAAGTTTAGACTGCCCGCTTCAAATTTGCACGACGACCGCTGAGTGACGTGAATGAGAGTAACTTACATTTTATCTCTCCTTAGATCATTCGGACCGAAAACCCTCTACACTTTTCTGTTTCTTCCTTCTATACCTAATATATTGTACTGCTGCTGATATTATTTCTACTACTCTGGGATGTTGCAACATAGTTGCTATACACAGTGCTATTCCACAGCACTTTTTGCAATACATAGAGAAATAAAGTCTTTAGCTGCTGAAAATAGAATTCTAACGGAAATAAGCTTTTAGACACTTTTTATCCCTTGATTTATTAATTTCCTACAGAGACTACGTAAGACAATACTTTATTCACTGATTCGCAAATAGCTAACACTCCAATAATCTTTTTACCAAGTGTTACCATAGTCTTCCCAGTAGAAACTTGGTTAGTCCTAATCCGCAGTAGACTAAGGTTGCGAAAGAAAGCTACAGAGCTTTTAAGAAGATCAGAGAACTGACTCGAGTATTGATCGAAAGTGGACTATGCTTTTTAAGAACAGGAATATAGTCGAGTGACGTAACTTTTTTCAGAGAAAGGTAAAGATTGTCCTCCGTTTGAAAAATTTGCTGTCCATTGAGAAACAAAAAGGCTCACTGAAATTTTGCTGCTTTTGACGCTTTAAAAAACATGGTATTTTGAAGTAAAGGTTAGGCACAGATATGTACAGATAGATTATAGCTCAAAAATAACCGTTGATAAGGAAGCGCAGACCATATTAAGCTTCCCACTTGCATTAAATACAAAAGTACATGTCATTATGGGACCTCTACCGTAATTTGTGAAGTGAATGCACTGAAATTAATTAGTAAAGCAGGGGCTATATTTATTTATTTTTACGTTGCACTTCTGGATAAGAAAAACTAGACCAACAAGAAACAATAAAGAATTTACTTCCTGAAGATTTCAATACAGATAACACACTGAAGCAACAAGTGCTCCGGGTAAAAGGCAAAAGTAATAGACTAGCTACCCCTCGGTTTGCAAAATATAAAGTATGTAGCCGCCCTACTATCAATGGCACTTAGACTACCGATAAATCGTCCCACTTTGACGTTGAGAGAGATCAATTTTGAAACCAGGTCGGATTTCGAAATCGCCTATCGAATCCTAAAATCAATACATTCACGACCAATGTGGTTTTATAAGATATAAACCCACATTTCGTTCACTAGTTTGTGAATAGAAAAATTTATTACTATCATACCCGAAAAATTTGTCTTAGCAACTGAGAATCAAATAAATTGTATAAACCTCAGGTACATTGATTGAGACATAGCTAACGATTTGTTGGTGGCTACATCCACAGAACCTCTCCGTTGAAAAAACGTCGTGTTGCCATAAGGCTAGTGTGATTGAAACTCAGAGGCAATGAAATAATCCGACAGCGCATCTACATTGAAGTCAGAAACCAAACATGTTATCCTGAATTCGCTCTTCAAGAGACCTATCAAAGTTTCATATGATTATTCAGGTTAATATTTAACGCAGTCAAACTGACTCGATTGTGGCCATAAGACGAGTAACTTCTGCGTTATCTTAATCCGCTTGAAGCACTTAGAAAGTACAAATCTAAACAAAACTGAATAAATGATGGTGTGATTCAGAAAACTATGTGAAATGTACACCGTTGGATTAAGGTATATTGTACAGCTCTAAAAGTAAGCACTTTATACATTATCAAAATTTAAAATAAACAGCCCAACTGTTATACTTTGGATATATCCGACATGTCCTCCAGAATCTTAAGTCGCAGAAAAAAGTGCAATATTTTATTACGGTTGTAAACAACCAAGATAAATTTTTATTCACTTGAAAACTGATATAACATTGAATTATACATCTGTAAGTCACAAGCATTTAGATATGGCAATATCAACAAACAATATTTGACAAAATCTACTTCGTACTTTTTTCACTAAGCTAAAGATATTAAAATGAAAAACAGGTGTTTAAATGGAGGGGATAACTGCCTGCACGAGGTCACAACAACCTCTCTGATACCGCCCACTCTCGAAATACCGCGCTTCGTAGAGGAATTTTTCGGATTCCAATAATAAAGTACACTGAACAGTATTTTCAGGAAAAAACCCTAGAAATCTTCAATTCATTGGGCCAAAAAACTTCAGCGCAATTATCCTGTTACATTTTTTCGTTATTCACAGAAATTGAACACTCCAGATGATAAGTGTTTTTAGTAACGACAAGTGGATACTATGAACGAGAATAAGCGTAGATAAAGATAGGTGCAAGACGGTTTCTTGGGTATTTGTGAAAATTATATGCTGTCTCCAAAAATGCCTGAGTTTTCATTGACTTTAGATCACCAACATACGTGATGTCTGTTGAATGGTTGGGAGGCTAATAGAGTGAGACGAGCAAGATGCAACTAACCAACTTACATCGAAGTCACATTGCACAACTAGTGCTTATCGCTCAATAAGCTTTCATCATATCCGAGTACTATGGCCATTTTAAGGACCGCGCAACACTAAGTACGTCATTACGAAAATGTTATAAATAGACTGGCTACAAAAAAACAGTCAGCCACCACTAACACACAGATCAGTCCGTGACATGTAATTAACTTGTAGCGAGGATTCCAGTCGTAATTGACTATAAACACCACAGCAAGGGAACGAGTGCCAGGATATCCATAAAATCCCCTGGAAGTGAAACATCAGAAGTCATTTAATGGACCAAGGCGAGATATATTTGCTGGCGCTCTCGTGGTACCAAAAGAATACCGAGATCGTGCCAGGATACAGGCTTGGTTACAGAACGTAACTGGATTCCCGCATGGACACAACCGAAGCACAGTTAAACAGTCACTGGTAGAATTGGTCATAATAATAATTGTTTTCATTAAACCAATCGTGTTCTCGTGATGAAAATAAGTCACTACAAACTGATGTTTGTTGATTTTCCTTAACGAAAATCAATTGACTGTTCACTATTCAGTAATTTGACCACCAGTTGATATAGATAGAGCATTGTGACATTTTACTGACCTACAGAATTCATAAGAGAGAATCCCGAAACCATAGTAACACAAAGTGTGTAGGGTCGGCGAAATGTCACCGGAATTCAAGCAAATAATTTGGCAAGCAGGTCACCGAAATTCGAACATTTTGCCGATTCTCATCAAAATCAACACGTACCGATCACACGCAATAAACTGGAACATGTGGCTTAAGAGGAAATATTGGCTAGTAATAAGGAAACCGGACTGGGATAAACATCTCAGACATATTCTTACCGTGCTAGTTGAATTAAAGTAAATTTCGGGTTTTCTTGTGAAGTATCCGTCAGAAGTCGTTTTCAAGTCTATTCGTCAGTTCTACACTTTTAACGACTCTTATAAAACATACCTCGTAAGCGCTCACTTTCCAAAACAAAGAAAAGTTTACTGTTACAACTTAGGTTAATTGATTAGATGATCGCGAACATCTATGTCGATGTCAGAATATAAAATCTAAAAATTTGATCACTTATTACATGTAGGCATCATGGTTCCCATTACCTTACATTGAATCTCAATGGTCCTACCGATTGAGACTTTTCTTCGTTTCAATAAATAATGCAAAAACCCATAATCAACAAATTATTTACGTACAGCCTTTCTGGATACATAGCCATGATTAGTAAACCGTATAAGTGAAATCAAGTACGGAAGAATTCTAACGAATTCACAGACATCATCACTACCATCCTCATAGATGAATTAATGGCAAGTCTTGTTGTTTGCTTTGTTCACTAATGTTCTTATTAGGAAGACTTCAGATATCGTGCATAATCTCTTAGATTCTGACACTGAAATAAAACGACGACGTTCACTAGGTCCCCCAGACATTACTAAAGCTCTGCATCTGTTTGCATTTAATGTTGTCCGAGATTTGTACGGATAAACGGAGGATGTGTCCATGAGGAAACTGGTTCCTTCAATTGATTACTGACGCATGGAAGTCTCAGATTGTCAAATTTGGAAGTGACAGTGAGCGATTGATTCTTAGAATTCAAAATATATAAATATATTTAAAAACAAATAAATATATTGAGAAAATTAGTAATGGTATTCCATTAGAATTTGTAAAAGAATAGCCCTGAGAGATATAAATTTATATAAAGTTGGATTGAATATTTAAAACTTTATTGTAAATATTGAAAGTGTCTTTTTTGTCATGTAGAACTCACACATTATGGAGTATACGGGAAAAGAAACAACGACAAATGATCCTTCATATAATATCACAATTGAGCAACATACTATTTATACTCCCTGAATTTAAATACACATCCACACAGAAAAAAAAACTAAAGTTATAAAATAAATTGAAGCACAGAATAAATTAGTTGTAGTAAAAAAAGACAAATTAACTAAAACAAAAATAGCTCATAACTACGCAGCATGAAGAATAAAACTCAAATGCATCTGTTTTAATTATAAGCGGTGATAATTTTCTTTTACCGACAAGGGTAGAGTTTATTTAAGAAAAGGTGCTGCAATATCAGCTAAATTAGACATGAATTTACGTTTCTCATCATCTTTTGAATGTGTACAAGCTAATTTTAGGTGCTGACTAACTACTTGACGATCTGCAAAATGAGAGAACAAAATGATTACAATTTTTTAATCATTATATATATGAGAATAATCGACTACATCGTATGCAACAGTAATACGTATGTAAAAAGACAGTGAACGAAAATGTCAGTCAGCAAAGCTGTATACATTGGATTAAAGACTCACTTTCATGATATTTAAAGGTTATATATTAAGAGAATCCATATTTGTAAAATATAAATCTTTTACGATGCAGATATTCCAAAAGTTAATTTCAGTGAATATCAACTTGTAGTATAAAAAGTACTAAGGAACCAAAACTTTCATTTTCATATATTGCGGCTTCACAACTTAAACACACTAATACATCGCTCAATAAACAATTCATAATCATTTTCACCAAATTCTTCAAAAGCTGGAAAAAGGCTATAAACACCTTGTACAATTAGGGGTTAACAGATACTTTCTGAAGTCCTAAAGAAAAAAGACGGATTGTGCTATACCTTTATTTAACAGCAACTACTTTTGTCACTGATTTCAGCATGTTTCTAGGATCTTCTAAACAATTAATGACACATATAAACTCGAAAATATTCTTGTTTTATACCTGAAAAAAACTTATAAGTGGAGAGTCTTCTCATACTTTCTATTTTTTTGTTCTCGTCAGGGATTAATTGCAGATTTTCGGGGATAAGGAATGGGTTAGAAAGCCTATGCCTAGCCTTCAAGTACCGAATGTGCCAAATTATGCGCTAGATTTTTAATGATGACGATGACTATGAAGAAAACAAGAACAACTAAGTTTTGGGGCATAATTGAAAAAAAGGAGATATTTGTTAAAAACAACCTTGGAAGAAAGAACCGTTTTGGAATCTTCTCACATTTGGTACCGCTGCTAACCAGATCGCTGTATCTGCACCTTGTTCTGGTGTTCTTAGTTTATTTTTCATTTTATTGTAAAATGATGGCATAGACAGTGCGACAGCCTGAAATTATATATTTAAAAGAGAGAATATCTAAAGTGGTACGGAGAAAAATGGTCACAGAATGAAATCACACAAAAGGCGTGGATAAGTCCTAGTTGTGGATAATAAGCGATGATATGAAGTATCGTATTATATTAGTTCCAAAATAGCTAAATATATTTAAGACCTTTAAGGAAACCACGTTATCCACGAGATCGTAATCAACTTTATCTAAAGAATTAAAGTAGTGAATGATAACAGAACGTAGGAAACACCTGTTAGGTAATATCTCGGTTGTAGGAGAATTCGAAAGTTTCTGAATGAAACCAGTCGTTTTTATTTAATAAACGTTAGCTTAAGTAATACTAAATGAGATCTCTCGCATAGAAAGAGATTATCTAGTAATAGATAAAAGGATGATTGTCGTTTATATTGATGTGAAAGAACAATAAATGGACGCTTAGCAACTTGCTATTCAACTACTTTTTATCAGAATTATTAAAAACTATAATGCCAGTAAAACTTACTGGTGTATCAGCCCAACCAGGGTGCATTGAACAGAAGAATATTTCTGGATAGTTCTTAGACCACATTTCAGTCATAACAACTTGTTGACGTTTATTTTGTGCATAAACCATTGTTCCATCAAATTTGTTGTGCCTAGTTGTAAGCATTGGATCAGCATGATCCAATTTCTGTACTAACATTCCACCTGAGCTAACAGTAATAACACGAGCCTATATACGATAGGTGAGAAGTGTTAACAGTAAAAGAGAATAATTATATATCTGAATTTTATAAATGTTAAATAAATAGAATGAAAAACTACTAACAAGTTGATATTCCAGTTCCAATATTGATCATTACCATGAATAGAATTTTGACACTGACTATATATTCAGATATTCTGGTTAGTTTTTTAGCAAAGTTTTGTTACATGAGATGGGGTTTCTGACCCCATGCCCAACGTTCCTTCTTAACAAGGACTTGGAACCAGCAGTAGCTGTAGAAGAGCTGCAGATGGAGGATAAGAGGAACACCAATGAACACAATGCATCGGGAAGTGGAAGTAGACATCAAAAGGGTGAATAGCAAATGGAAACAAGTGGAAAGGACTGCCCGAGACAGAGTTCGATGGAGGGTGTCAATGGGTGGCCTAAGCTTCTCCACGAGGGGTAACAGGCATAAGTAGTATTTTCGATCGACTGTATATTATAAAAAATGTCTGATCGAATAACTAGCTGACTTTACCAGAAGGTTTGCTGTTTATAAAAGTAATTAAGTTAATTGAAAAATCACTTCAAAGCATTAAGATTACAATTAGATGACAAAATAAAATACTTCATATCTAACCAATGAAAGTTAGCTTAACACACAGTATATTCTCTTAAAATTTCTAAATATAGAATCTAGCTCCATTGCAATGAAGTGCTGTAAAATAGTTAAGTAACAACGTCACTAAAATTTCTAAATGCCGGCATAGTATTTTTCTTATTTCTGTATGTGTTTAAAATAAAATCTTGAGATCCAGTGAATTCAATAAAATATTGGAATTTAAACAGTAGCTAAGGAGATCCCAGTGAGCTTTTTGTAAAGGATATGTAAAGCATTCAAAGGTCTGTTCATATGATTTTTAAAAGATATTTTTCCGTTTGTCTTATATCAATGCTTGTAACATTGTCAATCGTTCCTTTTTCACATTTTGTGGAAGTTCATTCTACGTATTTAATAAGTAGCTCATTTATATTTCAGTTTATTATTTTGATTTTCTTTTACATGATTTATATGTTGATAGGTATATAATGAACAATCATTGATAAATAAATGTGTGTACTTGTTATATCTTTTGACCGCCAATCGGAGAGCAGTGACTTATTGATCAGACCAAGGACGCGTAAAACACGTGCGAGAAGCCCAGAGTAATGGTTGGTCCCGCTTTCTGCCTAGCCCATCCAGTTAAATCCAGAACACCAGTCACAGCCTCTGTAATATGAATCCTTATATTTCAAACATACTGAGTTTATATACCAATCAAACAGACCACAACGTAGCACGAAATAGAAAATAACATTTGTACAAAATTTGACCAAATGTGACTGTGAATGTATGAGGCAGTCAGTCAGTCAGATAGAACGTAGGACCAGGCACATATGTGCATCGGTCCAGGTTGCCATACCTCATTAGCACAACAAGATGAACACCGGATTCATAGCAGTGGTTAGGTCAAAGGTTGAAATAAGGATATAGTATAGGAAGGAAGAATTAGTTCGTAGAAAGAAAGATATGAAGTGATTTTAATCTCTTAGTTTAAGGGAAGATAGGGAGTGTATACACCGACGCCATTGTGATCGATTCTGAGCCATGTCACCAAGAGTCTCCAACCATTGGTTACGAAAGTCACGCGGACCCCAACCAAGTAGTCTGCATCTATCAACATGGCTCAGACCAGAAGTTAGTGACTTCAAACACTGATGCCACGTTTTGGTTTGGCCGCCCCTAACTTTCTTCCAACCATCCCCTACACCGGTTAGCATTGCACGTCGTGGTAATCGGTGTTCAGGCATACGTAACACATGGCCCAACCATCTCAGTCGATGAAGATTCATAATCTAATCAACCGATTTACCATCATTCCCTAATACCCTGGGTCTAACCTCACTATTACTTACCCGGTGATCCCAGCAGATGCGAGCAATATTTCTAAGGCATCTGTGATCAAGTACTAGTAACTTACGAATATCTTCTACTCTTAATGGCCATATTTCGCTGCCGTAAATTAAAACAGAACGGACTGCCGCGCAGTATACTCGTCCTTTTATTGATAGACGGATATCTCGCCTCCGCCAAAGGTGACGTAAGTTGGCAAAAGCCAAACGAGCTATTCGAATCCGTGCTGAGATTTCGTCCGATACCAACCCATTAGGGCTGATCAGACTTCCAAGATAAGTGAAGTTGTCAACGCGTTCGACTACTTTACTCCCTATCCTTAGTTCAGGTGTTGACGCAGACCAGTCCTGAAGCAACAACTTGCATTTAGAGGGAGAGAAGCGCATTCCAAACATTCTGGCATTGTTGCTTAGTGCTACCAGAAGACTCTGCATTTTGTCAGCGTCTTCACCAAACAGGACTATGTCATCTGCGTATTGTAAGTCGATAAGTGGACCTCCTGGAAGGAGATCAATACCCGAGAGGCAGTAACTAATAGACAGGGCATAATTCAAGAATGGTAAAACGTATAATAATGGTTCATAGGTCAAAATAAAGTTTATAATAAGAGGGATATGAATATGAATAGTTTAGTTATTTAACAATTATATGATAAAAATATACGTTTAGTATTGGTCCATAAAAGGATCCCAAAGTTACCATTCATTGTGTTTATCGAGACCTAACACATCTCCCCTTTTCTGAAGATCCGGTGTTGATATCCGGACTTTAAATTTTCCGGGTTCATCCTTCCCCACGAAACAGTGTTGGATCCTCATATTCCCAAGTTATAATTAATTTGAATTTATTTAAAACATATTTGTCGCACTGAGAAGAGAATCGACTGAAAGTGACTAAGTGGTGAGGCTGAACGACGCTTGATATAAGGTAATCGAAGTTTGATTCTTCTGAAATATTGTGACCAAATTTATTGGGAACCTCGTTTGTAGATAATGGATCATCAAGGTAATCAGCATCTATCAAAATTGTATTAGGTTTCTGATCATCATTTGATGCATCTGACATATTTTCTGGTAAAAGAGAATCTCGATAATTAGATTCGTCAGAAACTTCTGTCGCTGAATGATGAGATGCATTTGGAGCAGCTGGATTCAGTGTACTACTCGATTTGTTTTCTGTTTCACGGGTGGTTACTGCGACAATTCTATGAACATTTAACAGGGCGTCTGTTTGTGAGCTGGATAAGTCACTGTCAGCACATACTGTTTCGGGGATAATGGAGTTGGAATCCATTATCGGGCATGATTCTGAAATGGAGAGTACTGGACCACTGGGCGGATCTTGAGTGACTGCTGTATCGTTTGAAATACGGTTTGTCGAGGATTCATGGAGGCTGCAATCATTTTAAAGCTCAATGTGCAAATGAGAAATTAATCCATCCACTTCCATCGCATCTCCAAATTATGAGTGATTCAGCAGCTGCGTGCGTAATTTGACTAAGAACTCCAACTGTCGCTCAAATAGCATATTTCTTAAGATAGTGGTTGGTATTAGTCGACAGGAAACCCTGGAGCTAGGGTTTCGTGCTATTTGGCACTTGTCAGCAAGGTGTACCCGAAAGCTTTAGGGACCAGATGCTGCCTAACGGATTCGACCCCGTGTGATCCAGCTTCACAGTCAAAGACGCTACCACTGAGCTATCCGGGCCGCGTCTGACCTCCTGTATTTACAATTGATTGATCACTGCGTAGTGATTAATGTCATGTATGTTAGGTGCTTCTTGGTGCCGATCAAATCCTATCGATCAATTTCCTCAAAATTACTGGTAAACCTTGCTGACAAGTGCCAAGTATCACGAAACTTATGTCCAGGGTATCCCAACCACCATTTTATCTCAACATAGTGCACGCAATGTCGAATCAAATAGACTGGCGGCCACATTGCAACTTGGTCGATGAGACTCGATCATAACTAAGAAGTACCTGATATACATGACATTGGTTAACTGTATTTCGTGCCCAACATGTAATAACAACATAGGTGCAAGATATACATGAAAACTAACAAACAGACAAAAAACACCAATAAATAATTTATTTTTCTTATAAATAGAGATTAGATTTAGTGAGTAGTTTAGTAGTAATCTACCTAGACGTCTGAAAATTGCAATATTTGTATTTGAAAATAGTTAATATTCAGTATTGAGACAAAGTGAATTATCAATATAATACACATTTAAATATAAATTCTGTAACAGTCGCTTGAAACCGACATATATATATACTACCGATTTCGAAAACTGATCACATTGTAAACTTATTAATTCAATAGCATGCCCTTTTATATCAACGAAATATTTGGACTGATATAACGTTGGACAATTTAGTTGGTAAATTACTTGACTGGGTTACAGTTACGATTTAAAGCTAATCGTTCTACATAATTTATAAACCACAAAATGTTATCAAATTATTGTTCATACTTACATCAGGTGATTTTTTTAATGCAGGTATTAGACTTTCAGTAAGTATATAAGTACCAAGTGTATTTGTGGCGAAATTAGCTTCTATGCCGTTTTCATCAGTTTTATATTCATTAATCATGCAGCCAGCATTATTAATCTATAGTAGTTTAAGATAGATATATGAAAGCAAACAGCAATTATGAGGTAATAAATTAATGTAAGATTAAGCGCTTAAAATACTATAATAATTAATTTGCAAAATGTTCAATGATTGTCTCGGACTTGATTGTCCTTGCATTTCTATACTAGTTGCTTTCTATTCCCGTTCTTCCTTTCTTGATCTTCCCAATCTTCTGCTACCAGACATTACATTCCTGACTCGCGTTATATACCACTTATGTCAATATAAGTAGCACGCACCACAGGACGTTTATGGTACAAAGCTGAATAACAGGTTTATAGTTAGTTACGATAACTTATGAGCAGAAAAAGATGTTAATACGAGCCCTTCAGCTAGGTATAACAATTATAGATTAGAGGCTAAATGACCTACAAACTAACGCTCTCTAGTTGCCTATGTCATTTTACCATGTTTTTGTTAGTATTTCATAATATAAGCACCCCAATTCTCTCTATAAAAATCAGTCCTACTGGGGTCTTTATTAAAAAATCTTCTACACAATCTGGATTTTTTATTTCACGTAGCTTTATTATTTATTTATTTATTTATTTCAACACATATATATTGGTACAAGAAAGCGCCAATATATATGCGCCACACAAAACAATGAGAATGCGAAGAGAAATAGGAAAAAAAACTAAGGAGCGCAAAACAAAAAGAGAACAATAACGAAGAGATTGGTGTAAGGTAGTGTGGTAGTAATGAGGGAACGGAAAGGTACAATCGGAAGAAATCTTTCAGGTAAGAGAGACAACCACTTTTTATGAAGAAAGTAAAAGAAGATTACAACAGGATCGCCACTGGCTTCTATTCTGAGACATATCTGATAACGTCTCTAGCCACTGTGTAGCACCATCTCTCGGACCCCAACCAGGGAGTCGTGAAGGACCAACACAAGCCAGTCCTTTGCAGCTTTCTTTCATGCCACGACACCATGTCATGCACTCACCACCTCTCCGCTTCTTCCAACCAGTCCCAGAATCGGCAAATAATGCATGACGTGGAATTCTCTGGGACGACATTAGGAGAACATGTCCAAGCCACCGAAGTCAGTGTTTCAAGATGGTGACACCAATTGAATTATCATCTCTGTGCCCGAACACACGATGCCGAACCTCTGCATTACTGACATGGTGTTGCCACTGAATGTCAGCAATCCTTCGGAGACAGCGATGATCGAACACAGAGAGTCGTCTGACGTCCTCAACTCGGAGAGACCAGGTTTCACAAGCATAGAGCAAAACTGCTCTCACCGACGCGTTGTAGATCCGACCTTTTACAGCCAGACTAACATCACGAAGGCGCCAAAGGTGGCCCAGATTGGCATAAGCCGCTCTGGTTTTCACTATTCGTGCATTGATCTCATCACTCACGCCACCACCAGCACTTATGCAGCTACCCAGATACACGAACTTCTCAACTACGTCTATCTGCTCACCATCCAGGGTGAGTACAGGATTGGAATCCTGCCAGTCTTGTAGAAGTACTTTGCACTTCGAAGGTGCAAAGCACATACCATACCTACGGACACTGATTGTCAACTGATTAAGTGCGGATTGCATGCCTTGGGCATTATCGCACAGTAAGACAATATCGTCCGCATACTCAAGGTCGAGAAGTCTTTCTCCAGGCAACAGATCCACACCACCATTACTTACATTCATCAGAGCTGTTTCCAGAATGTCATCGATGGCAAAGTTGAAGAGGAATGGTGAGATTGGGCAACCCTGTCTAACCCCACTGCTCGAATGGAACAATGGAGAAAGGTGGTTGTATGCCCTCACTCTGCCTGAGGTGTTTGTATATAGGGCTTTTAGGATGTTAATAAACTTCTCAGGCACACCCTTCTTCAATAGACAATCCCAGAGAACAGTCCTGTCCAACGAATCGAAGGCAGCCCTGATGTCAAGAAACACTACGATTGTTGGCCTTTGATAAGTATGGCGGTGTTCTAACATTTGGCGGAGGGTGAAGATATGATCAATACATCCTCGACCAGAACGAAACCCAGCCTGCTCCTCGCGAGTCAATCTGTCTCGGGTTTTGAACAACCTACGAAGTATGACGGAAGCCAATAGCTTGGACGCAATCGGAAGTAGACTTATCCCCCGATAGTTGTTACAGGAACGACGTGAACCCTTTTTAAAGATAGGGACAACTATCGACTCATTCCATGACGTTGGTACACTCTCTAGTTCCCAAACCTTTGTAGACAACGTCGTCAATTCCTTAGTCAGAAAGTCACCACCATCTTTAAAAAGAGCCGGAGGTAAGTCATCTGGGCCAAGTGATTTGTAACGCTTCAAGAGTTGGAGTTCCTTGCGGACTTCCTCCTCGTTTGGTGGATCAGTCGTCACCGGCCATGGAGGGCAGGACATTCTGACCGATGTTGCCGGAGCAGCAGGCCAGTTGAACTGCCCTTCGAAAAATTCTGCCCACCGTCCAAGACGTCGATGGATGTTAGTGATTGGCATCCCATCATCCTCGCAGATTGATCACTCACACCAGACTTCTTGCTGCCAGTGGCTCGGATGAGTTGGAAGAGCTTCCGGTAGTTACCAGATGCAGCCGCTGCTTCCAGCTCATCAGCACGCATCGACCACCAGGCTTCACGGTCCTTACGCAAGCTTTGCCCAATTTCCTTACGTAACATCCTTCGTTTATGGTCAAACTCACGGTCACCCGGAGTAGACCGACGGACTTCAATGAGTTGTAAGGAACCAGAAGAAACCCAGTGCTTATAAGCGGGACGTTTCGCGAACCCACAACTGACTGTACCTGCCATTTTCATGGCGTCATGCAATTGCAACCAATGCTCATCTATACTTTTCGGTGGAGTGGTAGCTAGCCTAGAGGCTAGCTCGGTTCGATACTTACTAGCAACAGAAATTGCAACCAGCTTGCTAATATCAATCCGTTGATGGTGGTCACTTCGTTGTTCACTGAAAAGTAAGGCAAGATTGGCGCAGACCAAGGCATGGTCAGAGTCCAGATAGGTACTCCAAAAGGAGCAGCAGTCTTGTACACAACCACGCCAGTTGTAGCTGATCGCGATGTGATCAATCTGAGTCCAGGCTTCAGATGAAGAGGGAGGACGCCAGGTGGTACATCGGCGATGACTGTGCCGAAAGTTAGTGCTAGCCAGAAACAGGTTGTGGTCTGTGCAAAATTGCAGTAGACGACCCCCGTTATCTGACCTGCAACCAACGAGTCCCCATCGGCCACCTAAACGACTCTCTTCTGTGCCTAGACGCCCGACCTGAGCATTCAAGTCTCCGGCTAGTACTACAATATCTGTCGAACGCACTTTCTGGAGAAGAACAGATAACTGGTGGTAAAACTCACCCTTGATTGCATCCGGGCTGCAATCTGTCGGGGCATAGGCGGAGATGACGAAAAGACATCGTTTCTCACGCCGATTTCTTCTCACTTTGATGGAACTTTCTAATCTAACAGCACATAACCGACTGTTAATGGGGATCCAATCGACTAGTGCTGCCTCAGCTCTAGCGCTTAGTGCGACACCAACGCCAGCAAGACCAGACGAAGATGCCACAGGGTCCCCGGATAAGCGCACCTAAAACAAGCTTTTTGAAGTGACAGATGTAGAGCGAATTTGTAGTACTTCACCAGAGTCTTGAATACGGGTCTCGGATAGACAGCAGACAACGATATGAAGACTTTCCAAAGACATAGCCAGCCCTATCTGTTGTCCGACCTGCATAAGTGTGCGAACGTTGAAGGCAGCCAGTTTGAATGATGCACGTGGTTTCAGAAAAAACTGCTTCAGTTCTCGTATTCGGTGGTAACGTACAATTTTCAACCGGACAGTGACTCGAGAACGTTTAGATATAGTCGAATTTCCACCAAAGACGAGCCGCTGTATAAGTATAAAAGAGGGTGAATAATGTGGAAAATAATAATAATAATAATAAAATAATAATAATAATAATAATAATAATAATAATAATAATAATAATAATAATAATGACAATAATAGTAATAATAATAATAGTATTAATAATGACAATAATTGTAATGATAATAATTCGAATCAATTGGTTGTTTTTCGAAGCGAGAAAGTAATTTCCATAGACATAAGGAGTTCATAATTTGTGTGTGGGCTGTGATACTGCCCGGGTGCTCAAACCGAAGCAGGTGGTTATCTTAGGGGGCCACTCCCCGAGCCTTTGACCTAAAGGTCTAACCCACAAGGCAGTAGAGCATCGTAAGGAGATGCAATCCCATGGTAGCCGGTGACCAACGATTGATTCATACGCCATTTGTTCCCGTAGGATACTGGAGCCCATATGCACCATTGATTTGTGATCCGGTTAAAGCGCCGGACATTCGCTTAGCGGGCAGGGATGAAGATAGAACTAGCTTAATTTGCTGCATTGAAATTGGAGTTGGAAACAATTTGGTTAATGTGCGAACGTATCAGATGTAGCAACAGTTAATGAGTGAAATAAAGGTTAAAAACTAGGACAATATAAAAGTATCATGTACCACTTTTTAATATATTGACGTTAAAAATATACTTATCAAAGTTTATCTTACGCAGTTTTAAATTCTCATCTATTCGCTTAATCTTAACAAATATAGTCATGCATAGTCGAACTTTTCGACTGATATTTCTAACTACAATCGCATGATGGTATAGTGAGAAAATATTGTCGTGACATAGTCAGAACATAGATGCAGTCAAATTAAATGTCACTGATTATTTAGGAATTCGAGAATATCTCCTCTTAAAGAACAGATACCGATTAGAAATCAATACATGGTGAAGTATTAGTCCACTTTTTAATTGATACATAGCGGTGGATTCTGTTTTTCATACAACTCAAGAACATGGTAGCACACGTGCTGCTTGTAATTAATTATAATTTAAATTTACGTCTAATGTTCAGAAATACGGTCAACAGAGTTTTGGAATAACTATTGTGAGATATAGAAACAAATTATAAAATCAATGTAGATTTTAGACCTACGAAAGAACCATATAATTTTCTAGTTATAATTAATATGACTGAGAACACATAGCATCTAAAGTCTTCAATTAACTCCGCCTGGAATCCCTCCACGGGCTACTGCCGGCCCCATGCCCGGATAAAGGAGGAGGGTTGGGCATGGGGTTAGCGACCCCATTCCGTAGAAAACTAACTCGCTAAAAAAACGCCAACCAGAAAAAAATATTCAACCTTTTAAAAGTCTGTCCTGGGTGTCAGAAGGTCTTCATTTAGAAGAGTGATGACGCCTCATGACGAAAGCCGACTTCCTTCGGAAGTCACGAGGCCGATGCCCCTTCTGACAACCAGAGCAACCAATTATTCAGGTACATGGAATGCTCGTACAATGTGGGGGACTGGGAGAGTTTTCCAAATTGCTACAGAAATGAGGAGATACAACCTAGAGGGGCTTGGGATCAGTGGAACATGTTGGACGAAAGTTGGACAACAACGACTAGCTTCAGGGGAGCTTCTGTTATACTCTGGTCATGATGAAGAAAATGCCCCACATACACAAAAAGTTGCATTGATGCTGTCCAAACAAGCCCAAAATGCGCTTATAGGATGGGAATCTCTTGGACCAAGGATCATCAAAGCCTCCTTCAAAACAATGAGTGAGGGCATTTCAATGAACGTCATCCAATGCTATGCGCTTACCAACGACTACAATGAAGACGCTAAATATCAATCCTACAATAGGCTGCAGTCAATCGTCGAGAAGTGTCCAACAAAGGACTTGACCATTCTGATGGGAGATGTTAATGCCAAGGCTGGAATGGACGACACGGACTGGGAGAAAGGAACGAAAATGGTGAGAGTTTAACAAACCGATGTGCCTTCAATAAACTGGTCATAGGCGGAATTATATTCCCACATAATCGCATTCACAACATCACATGGACTTCACCGGATCACACTACGCAAAACCAAATCGACCATATCTGCATCAACAAGAAGTTGAGCAATCAATACCAGCCGAACAAGAGCAGAAAAAGCCAAGGCACAAGCTGAATACACAAAAGTAAACAAACAAGTGAAGAGGAGCATCAAAACCGACAAACGTAAATATGTGGAAGATTTAGCAATGACGGTGGAAAAGGCTGCAAGAGAAGAAACATGAGAGAACTGTATGACATAAAGAAACTCTCTGGAAATAAACGTAAACCAGAACAGCAGTGAGAAGCAAGTAAGGCAAAGTAATCACCAACACTGAAGAACAACGAAACAGGTGAGTAGGACACTTCAAAGAACTCTTGAATCGACCAGCCCCACTGAACCCACCCAACATCGAAGTAGCACTCACGGACCTCCCAATCCATGTTGGCCCACCAACAATTCAAGAAATCAGCATGGCCATCAGACAAACCACGAGAGGCAAAGCAGCAGGACCGGACAACATTCCAGCAGAGGCACTGAAAGCAGACGTATCAGTAACTGCGACGATACTCCACATTCTCTTCAGCAAGATTTGGGATGAGGAACAAGTACCACAAGACTGGAAAGAAGGACTTCTGATCAAAATACCGAAGGAAGGTGATCTCAGCAAGTGTGATAACTACAGGGGCATCACTCTTCTCTCAATACCTGGAAAAGCCTTCGATGGGGTAGTGTTAAACAGAATAAAGGACTGCGTAGACGCCCAACTTCGAGACCAACAGGCAGGATTCCGTAAGGATAGATCGTGTACAGATCAAATCGCAACTCTACGGATCATTGTGGAACAATCAATTGAATGGAATTCATCACTCTACATCAACTTCATTGACTACGAAAAGGCATTTGATAACGTGGACAGAACAACACTATGGAATCTCCTTTGACACTACGGCGTGCCTCAGAAGATAGTCAATATCATACGGAATTCCTATGATGGATTACACTGCAAAATTGTGCATGGAGGACAGTTGACAAAGTCGTTCGAAGTGAAGACCAGTGTTAGGCAAGGTTGCTTACTCTCACCTTTTCTCTTTCTCCTGGTGATCGACTGGATCATGAAGACGTCAACGTCTGAAGGGAAGCGCGGGATACAATGGATATCTAAGATGCAGTTGGATGATCTAGACTTCGCAGACGATCTGGCCCTTCTATCCCAAATGCAACAACAGATGCAGGAGAAGACGAACAGTGTGGCAGCAGCCTCAGCAGCAATAGGTCTCAATATACACAAAGGGAAAGCAAGATTCTCCGATACAACACAACACGCACCAATCAAATCACACCGAACGGAGAAGCTTTGGAGGATGTAAAAACCTTTACATAGGCAGCAACATTGATGTACACGGTGGATCTGATGCAGACGTGGAGGTGTGCATCAGCAAATCAGGAGCAGAATATTTACAAATGAAGAACATCTGGAACTCAAAACAACTGTCAACCAACACCAAGGTCAGGATTTCCAATACAAATGTCAAGACAGTTCTACTGTATGGGCCGAGAACCTGGAGAACTATGAAAGCCATCATCCAAAAGATACAAGTGTTTATTAATAGCTGTTTACGCAAAATACTTCAGATCCGTTGGCCAGACACTATCAGCAACAACCGACTTTGGGAGAGAACAAACCAGCTCTTAGCGGAGGAAGAAATCAGGAAGAAGCGCTGGAAGTGGATAGGACACACATTGAGGAAAGCACTAAACTGCGGCACAAGACAAGCCCTCACATAGAATCCTCAAGGCCAAAGGAAAAGAGGAAGACCAAAGAACACATTACGCCGAGAAATGGAGATAGACATGAGAAAAATGAACAAGAATTGGGTAGAACTAGAAAAGGAGGCCCAACACAGACTGGGTCGGAGAACGCTGGTCGGTGGTCTGTGCTCCATTAGGAGTAACAGGCGTAAGTAAGTAAGTAAGTAAGTAAGTAAGTAAGTAAGTAAGTAAGTAAGTAAGTAAGTAAGTAAGTAAGTAAGTAAGTAAGTAAGTAAGTAAGTAAGTAAGTAAGTAAGTAAGTAAGTAAGTAAGTAAGTAAGTAAGTAAGTAAGTAAGTAAGTAAGTAAGTAAGTAAGTAAGTAAGTAAGTAAGTAAGTAAGTAAGTAAGTAAGTAAGTAAGTAAGTAAGTAAGTAAGTAAGTAAGTAAGTAAGTAAGTAAGTAAGTAAGTAAGTAAGTAAGTAAGTAAGTAAGTAAGTAAGTAAGTAAGTAAGTAAGTAAGTAAGTAAGTAAGTAAGTAAGTAAGTAAGTAAGTAAGTAAGTAAGTAAGTAAGTAAGTAAGTAAGTAAGTAAGTAAGTAAGTAAGTAAGTAAGTAAGTAAGTAAGTAAGTAAGTAAGTAAGTAAGTAAGTAAGTAAGTAAGTAAGTAAGTAAGTAAGTAAGTAAGTAAGTAAGTAAGTAAGTAAGTAAGTAAGTAAGTAAGTAAGTAAGTAAGTAAGTAAGTAAGTAAGTAAGTAAGTAAGTAAGTAAGTAAGTAAGTAAGTAAGTAAGTAAGTAAGTAAGTAAGTAAGTAAGTAAGTAAGTAAGTAAGTAAGTAAGTAAGTAAGTAAGTAAGTAAGTAAGTAAGTAAGTAAGTAAGTAAGTAAGTAAGTAAGTAAGTAAGTAAGTAAGTAAGTAAGTAAGTAAGTAAGTAAGTAAGTAAGTAAGTAAGTAAGTAAGTAAGTAAGTAAGTAAGTAAGTAAGTAAGTAAGTAAGTAAGTAAGTAAGTAAGTAAGTAAGTAAGTAAGTAAGTAAGTAAGTAAGTAAGTAAGTAAGTAAGTAAGTAAGTAAGTAAGTAAGTAAGTAAGTAAGTAAGTAAGTAAGTAAGTAAGTAAGTAAGTAAGTAAGTAAGTAAGTAAGTAAGCAAGTAAGTAAGTAAGTAAGTAAGTAAGTAAGTAAGTAAGTAAGTAAGTAAGTAAAGTCTTCAATTAAGATTTTGAAATGTTTTACAGATGGAGTCTTTTTGCAATTTATATGGGAGTCTCTTTTCCTTACTTATTTTTTTTCGATTTTTAATTATCTTTCCTGTTGACAGTATCCCACTCTAATTTCCAACTAAGGTTATGAACTTATATAAGGATATAATAGAGTTGATTTGAAATATCTCTGAGGTATAGGAATAAACTTTACAGTTCTGAATAGTTAACTGAAACAATACATTCATAGACATAGATATTTATGAAAGACTTAGAAATCAAGTTAATTTATCTGTAAATTATTTGTATGTGATATTTTCTTTATTCAACGTGAAATTTAGACCAAATATAATAACACAACTTAATCAATTCCTATTTAGAAGAGAAAAGAACTTTCTCAGTCACATATACCATATTTACTGTAGTGATGTAACCAATTAAACAAATGAAATTTACAGTAGCAAAGAACATAATTTAAAAATATATATAGCAAAATGGAAATAATGAAGCTATTAATCAATTATTGCTAATTACCAAAATATCTAGACGTGAATCATTATTATTAGCAAATTGTTTTCCAAAATTGCGGACATCATTCGGCTTAGAAAGATCCAATGGATGAATAATTATACGCTAAAATCAAATTACCGATAAAGTATTATTACATAACATAGAAAAGTCAGATAAATAATATTAACTGTACACAATATAACAAAATAACTGGAAACCTGAATAAATAGTTCAGGAGAATGAAAGCTCAAAATTTGTATTTATCCCCGCCAAAAAACATGATCAAACAAATAGTGTGAATCGGTAAAAATATAAAGTTTCAGCTGGCTGTTTTTAGATTAGAACACCTACCAACTCTAACTGGTGACAGTCGCTTATAACTCCTTAATCTAATGTAACGCATATAACCCGATAAGGATTGAAGTCCATGTAGGAGAAGGTCTATACGGTCGAAGTATTTCAGTGACTTATACCGCTGAGGGCGTAAGATCTCAGATAGAATTCAAAAGAAAGAAATTCAATATTGATTTCAAATATTGTTTGTTATGTTAATTCAGTGTGAACTTTTTTCTTTTCATTTTAATGCATATTTATAGTATCGATTAATTGTTGGTAATTTTGTGTTCAATTGTTCATTGTTCAGTTTGATAATTTTCGTAATTACTAAACACTGGATTTAATCAGTATATAAATAAATGAACCAATGTACAAAATGAATTCTCCCCGCCTCTTTTTTAAATCAATCTTCTTGCAAGAATTTAGTTTAGAGAAGTAGTGATTAGAAGAGAAGGAACTTGTCATATACTAGTTCAAAAGGTAGTTAGGATAATTGATATTACAGCAAACCATTTCACATATTTATCATTATGTAGAGTTATTGAAATGTATTTTAAAACATTTGGTTAAAAATGTTGATTTTGGAGATAAAGGGATGGGCTGACATTTATGTAGGCTGCTTACTAAAAGAAACTACAAAAAGGACGTGTATCATCGACATTCACCGGCATCGTGTCAAACGAACAAATATTCAAACTATCGGTATTGACAAATGCATGACGAAAAAGGTTAACAAAAATGAGAAATCAAGGAGGAAAAATAAATAATCAGTCATCACAAAACATTCAGTATTTAGATAAGGAGTGAATACATTCGTACTAGTATGATTAAGTTCGAAACATACCAGTTAGGTGCTTTAGCCACTCAAATCAAAATTCGACAAATATTCTTAAGAGCTGAACAACCTTTTAGAACCATTATTTATTGTTCAAGCAGTATGCATCCTTAGTAATTTTGATGACAAGAGACATGACGATATGTTTGTAGTCTCAGCTAGTTTCCAAAACATCAACTTCAATACGATGAACGAGATTGTTTCTATACTTTTCTTGCCTTCCCGCCAACTGTACGGAAACTTCATTTCGTATAGCAGTTGTATTGATAGAGAATCCGGGAGAATTAATTTGCATTTAGGTTTATTCAAATTACGTGTCAATGACTATTAAATACATAATTTTATCAGATTGAACAATCACTACTGAGCGAAAAACCGCAGTACATCAACAATGGATTGAAAATTAACTGAACGAAGTTCATTTCAAATCAATAGGCGAATTTTAAAATTGATTTCTTCCGAATGCATTACTTGAAACTTCAGCATCACCAGCGGCATACATTCTTAGTAATTCTCATAAAAAAACACATACATTGAAAAAGATAGTCACAGGAAACGTTTCCATCATACTTCTTGATAAAAAGAATAACTAACCGAATCATTGACTCCAGTTTCAGAGATTATCTGCTGACGTGCCTCTTCAGCACGAGGTTTACTGCGACAAACCATATGGATTTCTGCACCATGTTTCGCTAATTCTTTACAACACACGAGGCCGATCCCTGAATTGGCTCCAGTTATCAAAACACGGTGACTGTCTAAGCGTACGTTTTTCAACTCATTAGGATCAAAATGTGTAGCAGCTGACTCATAGCCTGACCTGAATAAATGAAAAAAGAGTAATGGACTTTAGCAGTGATCTGTAATAAATGATCATCAAATACAACACTAGACACAATTAAGACATTAGATCTTGTTAGTAAAGAATACATTCCGAGGTTCTGATGAAAGAGTTGCGCGTAGCATCACGTGAGACATGTCTAGTGTGTTTATGAAAGGCCTGGTGTTTATAATATAGATCAGTAATTTAATTTGGTTGTTGTGTGACCCTGAAGTCAGATACAAAAATTCTGGAAGAATTGTTTAGGCCGGCTTAAAATTCAGCCTTCCTTTCTATTGAGTGGTATATGTCTCAGCAATAAATAAAGTTTTTCAGCTACTCGACTTTTCCACAGCTTGAAATATCTTTTTTGAATAATCATTCGGCCATTTTTAATATTGACTTGATGGTTATTGAATACGAAGTGCACAAGTTATATAGAATTATTAGGTCACATTGGAAACGGCAAAAATCCAAAGTTAGAGGAATGGCAAACCGTTCAAAACAGACTAAGTTTCAAATAGCGGCGAACACATGATGAAATTAACGTAAAAAAATATGCACAACACCAAACAAGCCATAAAACAGTTTGAAATATTGAGTAATTATTAAGAGTGTAACGTAACAGGCAAGGAGAAGTAATGTCGAGATGAAGCTAAAAATAGAAACGCATTTGACAGTTAGCTAGTTATATTTTTAGATATGAGGGCAACAAAGACTAACAGCTAATGTTTGGAACGTGAAAGGATATCATGAATACAGGCTTTACGAACTAACAAAATTAACGCTTATATACATGGTCAAACACATACTCATCAGGATTCTAACTCGACTGCATTCGTAATTTGATTTAATACTACTTTAATAACGTATCAAGCAAACCGTTACATAGTGATGAAGCTACCTCTTAATAGTTTTGCTTTGCAAGGTAGTTTTAATCCTAGAACGGTAACAGTTTCGAAATCCACTATTTCTAATTCGATAGTATCCCTATCCACTAGACAAATAGTATGACTGAGCTGAGTACATACTCATGCATAAGTTAAATCAGACACATTATTTCTGCATTACACGTATGTGGAACAATATGAGGCTCAAATAAATCTGGATTTTGACACAGCTGAGAAATTAAAATTGTTATATCCCGACGAGAATTATGAATGGTACCTTCTGTAAACTATTTATGGACTAATACGATATATAATTAAGTAACTGAACTATGAATATTCAGGTTCATCCTATTGCAAGCTTTATTTTGATCCACGGACTATTACTATGCGATTTGCCATTCTAGAGTTATACCCAATCTATTAACTACAGTCTCCCACATTCACAGTAACTTTTGGCTAGATTTTTACAAATGTTATTTTCTATTTTATGGTACGGTGTGGTCTGTTTGGTGTGTATATCAACCAAACCCTGTATGTTTGAAACATATGATTCATATAGCGGAGGCTGAGATTAGTGTTCTGGACTCAGCAGGTAGGGCTAGTCAGGAAGAAGGACGGATAAGGACCCTAGACGGTTCGTAAGTGGTTATGCGTCATTGGTGCGGTCGATAAGCCACTGCTCTCCAATTTGTGGTATCATTACGTTATATAATAATAAGGCAAAAGGCGACAAAATATGACAAAAATATCAGACCCATATATAAAAACCGATATGTATGCCACATTATAATCAATTGGATACTCAATAAATCGTATGAAGTTTTAAATAAAATTACTTACTTTGTGTATTCACGCATCCCTTTTGAAAACCAGGCTAGATTACGAAATGCAGACATGATCCTTAAGTTAAACGAAAAGATGAGTTAAAAATAATAGCAAATGAAGAGTGTTAACTGGAATTATTTGATGATTATTCAAATAACTGATCAAAGAGATAGTCGGTAAGTGAAAATGTTGAAGGTCGAGCGACAAAATAGAAATAAGTAATGAGCAAACAAATGTAACCCAGAATCAGGCAAATTTGTTTGAGACTGAATTCGCTAAAACACTGGCAGTGTAAGCTCTTTTTTATAGCTATTAATTGGCAGATCCATGAAATTGGAAGTATTTTAATTGAGAACGATAAACATTTTTAAGTAACGTAAGCGAATTCCTGTGGTTACTCCTGAAATTGCATAAGAGACTGAAATGTGCTGTGGCATATGTTTCTTTTGATATATTTATTGGAGAGAGTAAAATGAAAACCAAATCGGGCAAAAACATATTGGTATCTAAAATGTTAAACTTCACACAATAGTGAAACACTTTAAGGTTTGACACATCGTAACAGTTAGGGAGAAAATGGCCAAACACGCTCTGTTAAGATACTCTTAATGTACATCTTATAACCATGATGTAAGACACAGAAATCAAGCGAAGCAAACCCCATCCTTGATATCGAATGATACATAAAATATCAGCATCATAAGCAGAATAGGAAAACAAAATAGAAATGAACTCTCTACTTAGCCGAAGTAAACAATTTAGAGAAGCATGTCCAACTTTACAATAAATTTATATGGAGGTGCCAGACACTTTCAAAAAATCCATGGATAAGCATCCAAAGCCTTCAAGAAACCTTATCTCTTGGCAGTATTTCCTCATAATAGGACCATATTTTCTGCAAATACTATATAAATCACATTCTCTCTTGATAAACTATTTATCTTAACAGCATCATAGATAAATACAGTTAGTCCCACCAGTATATTAATGAAAAATCTTATCACATTTGGTTACAAAAGAAAGGATTTTCTGATGGTAAATTTTACTAAGTAGATTTACTTTTAGTGAATGTTTCAAGTACAATACACCGATCTATCACTTTTAATGAAAATCAATAAGGATTCATTGTATTAGAACAAATCAAGAAGTTCACAAGAAAGATCTTTAACTTCATCCATCACTCAAAATGTACTGACAGAGGTAACAACGCGAAGAATACACGATAGAACTTACATTGATGACGTAAAGGATAACAATCCAAATCCCAATATTCCACTGATAGAGATTATCAACCAGTTTATCATTAAATGGGATAAAGATAACTATGACATCGAGAAGCGTCGTTCTAAAATTGATATGGAAATTTCAACAGGATTGGCACTGTGGTGAAAATGATAACAAATCACCTTATTTCAAGTTGAACACAAACAATATTTACACTACTCGGTAATAATAAGTAGCATGAAAAACATCTTATGAAACGGCTGAACACAGAAGGACGTTATCTAGTTTGTAGTCTGTTTTCTAATTATAAAACAAGCTTTGTTACATCCCAATTCAGATATAATCAAAGTACATCAATTAAGTGTCGTAGATGATGCAACAAAAGTCCTGATTTTTAAAAACTTAGCAGGTCATAACGAGAATTTCCCAATATAATTTGCTGAAAATAACTCCAGCCCGACAAAGTGTATAATAGTAAAACCCAAGACCTAGTGAAAGAAAAAAGAATGAATGGTCCCGAGACATATAATCCAGCGTCTCTAACCGCTGATCTAGGATAATGCGCCGATTATAGCAAAATAGACTGCACCTACCTACACAGCTCAGTTCAACTGTCAATGCCATGTTTTCGTTTGGCCGTACCCTAACACATTCTCCTATCTACTCAATCAATAACAAATAACTACCTCGTAAACCGACTCGTCATTCTTACCTAGAACCATGTGTCCAACCTCAACATTGCATACTCAGTTGTCTCACCACAAGCGGGCAATGATCCCAGGACATCTATGATAAAACGCTAGTAACCTACGGAAAGAGTATTGTACTTTAAGTGACTATTAAAAGAAATTACCCACTCAACTCGAAATATATTCGCACCAGTTAAGACAAACGTATGACTTCATACTAAAAGTGCAGTCAAACACACATTATAGCCAGGCAAACTTCAAACACAAACTATAAGTAATTTGTAGAGAAAGACGACTATTCCAAAAAATGTTTTGTTAAAGAATACACAATGAATATGTTCAAATAAATTATTAAAAATACATGTACATTTCTTGTGTACAAATATACATATATTTCTTTTCATTATTAAAAAATATATAAATATAACCAGGAAAAGAAGAAGCAATGTCTATACATGCAATTTTTTTAAAAATAGAACTTTTATTTCAGACAATTAATGTTTTAAAGATAAAGCGTGTTGTCCATTAATTGTCTGTTTGATAGGTCTCAGCTGACGTAATACATTAGCCAATACTGTTTGTGCATCTTCATTTTTACCAACCAATTTACGTAGACGAATTTTCTTTAATAATTCTCGAACTGTTATAGGCTTTCTCATTAAGTATTTACGTACAGTATTTACTAATTCATTGTCAGTTGAAATTGTTGATGTACCAGATGGTGTGTCATTTCGCGATTTTTTTGCAGCGGGTGAATCTGCTGAGGTGTCTGAATTAACAGATGCAGATAAATCAGTAGGTAAACGTTTTAAATTTGAATTATTGCCACAGCTTACTGGTTGATTGTCAATTGGACTGCTACCACTATTAATTCCAGATGAAAGTGAAGGTGCATGAATGGTTTCTGAGAGTTTTTGCAACACTTCAGCTTTTTTCGCATTTTTCTGTATTGATTTAAGCCGGTTGTCAAGGTCGGAATCAGATGAAGAATATGTAGAAGAATCATCAGCCGATGAAGAACTCGAACTTGATGATGATCCACTGTCATTGTCGTTGTCTTGACGCTTTTTATGACTACGATGAGATTTTGCAGTGGCCTCTAATCTATCATCTGATTTATGAATGGATATTGAATGTTTTGTACCCTTTTGGAAATTATTTCTTTGAGGTTTTGTCATATCATCTATTTCACTACGTCTCTTAGAAAAGATATTATCCTCATCATCAACAGGTGGATTTTCCTCTACGTCTTGCATGTCATCTTCAGACTTTTCCTCTTCTTCACTACCTGTTAGAGGGAAAGTAAAAACGAAAAATCAATATTAGAAAAATCCCAATACAAGAAAAAAGCACTTTCAATATATATTACATAATAATAAAGCAAGGGCTGAAAATTGCATAGAATGGATAGGATGGTTTGAACAAACAATTATATTGAGACTTGGAGTAAACTACAATACTATAGGCTTTCGCTTAACATACTAACTGCTGATATATCTTTAGCTGTTCATAAGTTACAATTGATAAAACAAAATAAATAGATACGATAGGTTTCTTTCATTGATACAACTGATTAATTGTAAACGAGGTACTCAGTATTATACCACAAATAACCTAGTTTCGCATAAACTGATATGTTTTATTTGTGGTGCGTGGTGGTCTTCTAGCTGAGGCATATAATGATGTAAGTTTTTAAGTCTATTTATTTATTTCAACACATAAACATTGGCACAAAGAGGCATCAAACAGATATGCGTCACATAAATCATTCGATTTGTGTGAGGGCTGTGATACTGCCCGTTTGCCCAGATCGAAGCAGGTGGTATTCTTACGGAGCCACACCCTGAGCCTTTGACTTAAAGGTCTGATCCACAAGGTAGTGGAGCATCGTGAGGAGATGCAGTCCTATGGTAGCCGGTGACCAACGATTGGTTCATACGCCATTTGTTCCCACAGGATACTAGAAAAAATGTGCATCGTTGGTTTGGAATCAGGGTTTCCCAATTCCTCTACGTGGACTCTCCGTGTCCATTAACCCGATTAAAGCGTCAGACATTCGCTTTCCGTTCTCTCAGTTTCGTAAACAACACCCTCGCCACGAGAAGGCAGTGAATAGGACTTCCCGGGCAAAGGCTGTGTACGCGTGGCCGTGTGAGAGCATTTCGAGAGGGATGACGGGCCCACCACATTCTCGGCCATACCAGGGGATTTGGGGGCTGCCATATAAGTGATGCCCACCCCGAGGCAGCATGGAACGATATCCGAAAAGCTGTGGAAACAGCAGTGATATCTGCTAGTAAGGTAAACCACAAGGTTAGGGAGAAACACTGGATCGCAGCAGCATCTATCGCACTGATAGATGCGCAGAAACTCATTCCATCTGGCTCTAAACATAATGAAGAGCGGAGTCAGCTTAAGCGCAAGCTGACAAGAAGTCTACGCAATGATCGTGAACAGTGGTGGGTAGCGAAAGCAAGAGAGATGGAAAAGGCAGCGGCAATAGGTAATAGCAGAAATTGTTCAGACTTGTTAAGGAAACCGGTATTAGGAAACCGACTGAAAGTGAAACACTCTCAGAGAAAGATGGACATATTATTCATTCTCAATCCAGGAGATTGGATCGATGGGCAGAACACTTTAGGGATCAGTTTAACTGGCCTTCAGCCACACTTCGGTTTCCCACGATCTCCAGTCAACCTGAATGGCAAGTTAATGTAGGTCCTCCGACTCTTTATGAAGTTGAAAAAGCCATAGGAAATCTGAAACGAGGGAGAGCAGCAGGCCCTGACAGGTTTACTCCTGAGATTTTTAAGGATGGTGGTCCAGTATTAGCAGTGAGATTAACTGAGGTCTTAGGTAGAATTTGGGAACTGGACTTAATCCCATCTGACTGGTCTCAGTCACTGATTGTGCCAGTTTTTAAGAAAGGACAAAAGTCCTCTTGTGACAATCACAGAGGAATCAGTTTGACAAATATAGTGTCTAAAATATCAGCTTCAATAATACTTCGACGCCTAACCAAAGCTCGTGAAGAACAGACTAGAGAAAATCAGGCTGGTTTTCGACCTGGACCTGTTTGTATAGATCAGATATTCACACTACGTCAGGTTCTAGAACACATACACACGTCCAGACGCCCCACAATCGTATTATTTCTCGACCTTAAGGCGGCATTCGACTCTGTTGATCGTAAGGTTCTATGGCAGTGTTTGTCATTGAAAGGAGTACCAAAGAAGTACATTAACCTTATACAGGCTCTCTACTCGAATACAACTGGTAGAGTGAGAGCTTATGGCGAACTGTCATCAGAATTGATTACCTCAAGTGGTGTTCGTCAGGGCTGTCCACTCTCTCCATTCTTGTTCAACTTTGTCGTCGACGTACTTTTAGAGATAACACTTTCCTCGTCTAGATTTCCAGGGGTTGAACTTCTACCGGGAGGTTCACTTGTTGACTTAGAATATGCTGATGACATAGTTTTATTTGGCGAAGACGCTGACAAAATGCAGAGTCTTCTGACCACTCTAAGCAACAATACAGGCATGTTCGGCATGCGATTCTCCCCCTCAAAATGCAAAATGTTGCTTCACGATTGGGTTGCATCGACACCCGAACTAATGATAGGGAATGAAGTAGTTGGGCGTGTCGACCGCTTCACTTATCTTGGAAGTCTCATCAGCCCTTGTGGTCTGGTGTGTGACGAAGTCTCAGCACGGATGCAGAAGGCTCGACTAGCTTCTACCAACTTGCGTCATTTATGGCGTAGGCGAGATATCCGTCTATCAACCAAAGGACGGGTTTACTGCGCAGCAGTTCGTTCCATCCTACCTTATGGCAGTGAAACATGGCCGGTAAGAGTAGAGGATATCCGTACGTTACTAGTATTTGATCATAGGTGTCTTCGAAATATTGCTCGTATATCCTGGGACCATCAAGTAAGTAATGCAGTTGTTAGGAAACGGGTACTAGGTAAGGATGGCAAATCAATTGATGAAGTAGTGAGACTTCATCAGATGGCTGGGACACGTGTTACGTATGCCCAACCACCGACTGCCTCGATGTGCGATGTTTTGTTGTATAGGAGTAGATTGGAAGAAAGCTAGGGGCGGCCAGACTAAAACATGGCACAAGTTCATGAAGTCACTGACAAGTGGACTGAGTCATGTTGGTAGGTGTCGACTACCTGGTTGGGGACCGCGAGATGATAGCAACCGATGGTTAGAGACCCTGAATGACATGGCTCAAAATCGTTTGCAATGGCGCAGGTGCATCCACTCTTTGTGTTCTCCCAAATTCTAATATTCTGAATTCTTCATGTCCCTTTCTTTTTTCTCTTTCCAAATTTATTTCACTGGATTATACTCCTTGAATAACATCTTCAAACACTAATTTTTCTGATAACAGCTTATAATTTTACTACATCTAGCACTACGGGATTTGAATAGACCACCGCATCTCTGTGCTAATGTGGTGTGGCAACTCGAACTGATGTACGTACGTACGAAGTTCTACGTTGTTACTGACTGACTGAACATACTGTTTGAACTGTACTTTTATGGTATTCGATACGTTTGTTTATTTAGCATCAGATATTGAGGAGGAAGAATTTATGTAAAAAAAAGTAGCATACACGGACGATAGTGAAAAAAATTGGGATGAATGAGAAATTAGTTTAGTGTTTAAGTGAATTCTAGTATTTAAGGAGGCGGTCAAGTGATTGACATTTACCGTTCATCTACTCCATACAAGGCTATCAATATTCCATCAGTATGCGGAAATAAATTTCGCTAATCAAAAACAACTCACTGATGTCAGTAAGTAGAGTTTTCAGGGCGACTTCCTCATCAACACCAGTTTCTTCATATATTTTCTCGCGTTCTTCACTAGATAATTTCTCTTCATCTGATGATGAATTAGTCATGTAATCTACCTAAAATTACGATAGAAAGATTGCAAAAACCTCAAATAAATAGTTACCTCAATAAACTTACATGAAACAAGAATTAAAAACATTGTGGGATGGAGTGAAATAATATAATTTACATACGTACAAGTTCAAAAAGAGATGTTTGAAAAATGTGGTTTACAGAAGATTGTGTAAAAATAGACTTGTTTGATATCACAGATATTTATCTGTAATTTAAACAACTACAAAGTTAAATTTGTACGGGAAAACAACACATGTAATAAACCGAAGGCAACATATACAAATTGTTATCAATACGTTAGATGAACCGATAAAATTGACAAATCACAAAAAATAATGACATATTCAAAATGATCAGAATATTATTACAAATAAGTTAAAGATCAAATTACTGGTGTATAAGTAACAAACTACTTATGGACCGTAGAATCTAAGATTCCATTTTAATTGTCATACGTAAATATTACAACAGTCTAGAATAAGATGAAGTAGTAATACAAATTTCCTTAAATCATATTTCGTCCTATGAGTGTCACTTCTATGGTGTGTCGAAGAAGATCGTCACAATAATACTGAATTCTTACAAAGGACAACATTGCAAAGTCGTGGACAAAGAGCAACCGACAGATGTATTCCAAGCGAGGACCAGTGTTAGACGCGGCTGCTTACTCTGACCCTTTCTCTTTATTCTAGTGGTTGACTGGATTATGAAGACTTCCATATATGGAAGGAAACACGAAATGCAACCGACAGCTAGAATGAGACTGGACGATTTGGATTTCGCAGATGACCTAGCCCTTCTATCACATACACACCAACAAATGCAAGTCGACCACCAGTGTGGCATAAGCTTCTGCATCAGTAGGTCTCAACATACACAAGAGAAAAAGCAAGATCCTCAAATACAACATGGAGAACACCAATCCAATCACTTTTGATGGAGAAAATCTGGGACAGGCGGAAACTTTCATGGACCTGGACATCATCACTGAGGAACATGGAGGATACGATGCAGACGTAAATGCGAGGATGGACAAAGTAAGGTCAGTATTCATACAGTCGAACATATGGAACTCAAAACAACAGTCAACCAATATCAAAGTTAGAATCTTCAATACGAATATCAAGAGAGTTCTACTGTACGAAGTTGAAACTTCGAGTACTACAACCAGACTGTGGAATAACTTACCACAATCTATCTGTAAGATAAAATTTCTCCCATCCTTTGTTCGCTGCGTCGATGCATAGCTGCTCCTCTGAAAATGCATGAAATCTAGCGCAGGTATCTTATTCCAGAAGTGTGATTATAAAAATTTTAAATGTTTAGACATTCGTATTACTGAGTTCACTAAGTAAAACCACCTACCTGTTGTTACTCTACGTTAACACTGTCCGCGGGAATTCTAACTAATTTGAATAATACCTAAAATGAACAGTATATCACTGAGTCACATGACATATCCATTATGGAAGACCTGACTGACATATTTTGGTAATTATTGCTATGTTGTTCCGTGCTATCTGTTTCCATTTTACTTTCTCTAGTTGTAGATGATTGTAATTAATTCGTTATGACGCAGGAAATGACCTAAAATGCACCGTTCATAAATCAACAGCATGTCCACTTAAGAAGAATTAAAAGTTCCCGGCCGATGCATTTCATTGCTTCAATACATGTCATAAATGTACTACCTAAACAATTGTTGAACTAGTACACTTAAAACAATTTTATATCACATGTTTGTCTTCTACATTCAATGTTACTACTTACATCAAGCTGATCACGCCTGTAAACTGGCGTGAATTCTGTAATTACATTCAGTATATATATACTATCATTAAAATAAAAGTATGTACTTTATGTCAAGTATACGTTAAGCCAACAAATTCAAAGAGTACATAGATATTTAATGATTTGATAAAAAAATGGTATATATCAACTTCTTAGTTTTAAATGTGCCACGATTCCCAGCTTTAAAGTTACAGACAGATTCCTGAGAAAGCAAAAGGTGTGGTTAAGACAAGTTAATAAATAAAATAAGGGTATCAATAAAGAAACATGTTTTACCTCATCTCCTTCGTGATCGTCTAATTCACTCTCATCTTGTGCTTCTTCGTCTGGATCATCTTCTTCATCGGAGGAGCCCATATTAATAGGTTTTCGTTTACGCCTTTTAACACCACGTCTCATTTTTGTAACAATAGCAGCTGCACGCTGCTTCTTTTTAGCAAGGCGAGTGCGTTCGGACGTCTTTAGTAAACCACCTTTAGATCCACCTTTATTACGATCATCAGGATCTTCAAACAAGAGACCTTTCCCTTTACTAGAACTTGGACCTTCTTCTGCTTTGAGTGGATCGGCGTTCGGATTTTTCAAGCGATTATCATCACCCAGATCATCTTCATCATCGTCATCATCAGCCTCACTACCACTGTCCAATTCTTCCAAATCAGTAAGCTTTAAAGTGTTTTCAGGCTTCAGATCCTTAGTTTTTACTTCTGTTGAATTTCGCTGATTTGAATTGGAGTCTCCGAGGGAAGTTAGAAACCTAAAAGCAGAATGAAATGAGTGAAAACAATAAAACTGAAATTCATGTCTGGTATGAAAGTGTTAGGGTTCTGAATCTAGATTATTGTTCGAAAATATTCTTACTACAAAGCTTTTGAGTCAGTTGAGTAACAAAAAAAAGTCATATCTACACTGATTCTCTGATGAACACATGTTAGAATGAGTACCGAGAAATACAAAATTTTGCTACTTAATGAGTTGAAATGAAATGCAGAAAAAAACAGTAGTCTGAAATTCTGAGTTCTAATGAATAAGTTAATCAAAAAGATCGTATTTACTAGGAAAGTTTAGCTCGTTTTAATGGGGATTTATGCTCCTAATGTAAAGAATTGTTATATAGATAATCGGACCTACTTTAATCCCTTCGAAATTTCTCGATCCATGTTTGTTTCATCGTCGCTAACGTTATCGGTGAGTTTCCGTTTAACCATAACGTTAAATAAGTTGAGGGTTTTGTGTAGGCGGCTATATTCTGCTTCAGCTTCATCTTCTCGAAGAAAACGATAACTTATTTCCGGTTTCATCTTGTACCTATTTATAAATCGAAAATAACAAAAAGAATATTTGCAAGTGTATTAGGTAATTTGAAAAAAAGATTGCAGTATCATTGAGGTGATGCGTCATACTGAAAGACAATGTTTTGTTAACGGGGTAGCAAAAAGTCAAAAATATGCAATATTCTTAACGGTAAATGGAAACGGTTTATAATTTGGTGTAGTAGAAATGATAGTTAATATGGTTAAGCAAACATTACAATATTTTTACCGGTGGGGAAATTCGTATAACTTTGCTTCATTGAATATCTAGAGCTTATCTGGTGTTATGTACTGACTGTTCTAGAGCGTTTCAGCACTGAGAAAAAACCCATTATGTATTGAAAACGCCGTTAAGTGGAATACAATTTTTGATGAGAAACTGTAAAGGATTCTACAGTTAGAGTAAGATGTATTATCAAAAGGAATTGAGAAAATGTATTATGACTTTTTCAATATATAGCGAAATAGTTTGACTGACATTACGATCTAGAAAGGGAATCTTATCATGAACAGAAATGTATGAAAGTTGGACTGGTGGACATCTTAAACTCTTTTGGTCAAGGTAATTACAGGATTTGTAAAATCACCGTCAAAGAAAAGCATGTAATGGAGACATCAGTTTAGTACGAATCATTGATGTAACACACTAAAATATAGATTAAGATGAGGTACGCGATACAATGATCGTCCATTGATTAAACCACAATCCAAAAATAACACAGTAAGAGGAAAATGCCTATTTCACGATAAAACTACTGAAATAAAGTGGAAAACACTAACCATACCCTGGTTTAATCATACTGCTGTTACCTGAAACCGCAATGTGAAAAGTGCATCACATCAATACTTAGATTTGAACATCTAACCAAACGATTTACAATCCAATGAATTAGTATCATTCAAAGTGAGGTGGGATTGTAGTAACTAGTCCTATGTCGAGCCCACATAGCTTATTCTAGCTTCTGGACAAACCAGTTTCTTCGATCGTTTGTGTCTGGATCAACAACTGTATGAAATATATGTATTCGAAATCCGTTCTCGTATTTAACTTATTTAGTTCGCTTTTTTAATAACGCGAATTAAGTTGATAATTATATACGAGGATTGACGATACATGTCTTTCATCAACAATCATTCATCCGATCTAACTAGAGTCAGATATACAGGGCCACTAAAAGATCATAAAGCATAGAACACTACGGATTTTTGAATGTGGTGTAATAAGAACTCACTGAGTGGTCACCATAATGTTTTATTTAGTTTATGCGCAGTGAAGCGTCTAAAGATAAAACTTTATATGTAGGTTTAAAGACTATTAATATGAAGTGATCACGCTTTTAACAAACTTTCGGGGCCACACGAATATTTCCATCTGGAAATTAACGTGTAAATTTCATATTGAAATCAGTAAAGTGTAGGACGCAGTGATCGGCTGGGTTAGACAGTAAATGGCGATATAGAACCAAAAAGCTACTTACCAAGCATTTACCGGATAAGCATCGAAATTACCATCTTTGCACTGGCAAAATACAAAATATTCGACATTCTCTGACACACTACCTTCTCGAACTCCTCTAAAACGACGGCGATTAGCCTTGCCTTTTCCAACCGTCATTAGCCAAGGTTGATCATCTGGCTTATAGCTTTCTCGTACAACACCAAATTTTTTTAATCTTGCCTCTTCTTTAGCTTCGCGACCGAATTCACTACCAGCACCAGTGTCTGGCATTTCGGTTGTATTGTATAAACTCCGATAAGCCTTAAGATTATTTTCACGTTGCATAAAAACTTCAGGGGCTGATGATAAATCAAGCCTGTCAGCTGCATGGAAACGCAATACACTAAATCTTTTGTCCTTCTTGTTTGGAACTCTAACCTAAAATATGAAGACACAACTGTGTTATTTATAGGCAAATAAGATCAATTAAAATCTCGGGAGGTATAAAATCCTTAGTTTGATCGATTTATGGTTTATTGATTTTAGTATTTTCATATAAGCTAATAAAAGTACTACTTTTAATAGAACTTTACAATCTCTTGCACTTATCCGTGGCTAGTTTTTTGAGTGATACAAAGACGGTTTATTTCGATCTAGAGAGTTAAATCATATGAATAATAGAAATTGTTTGCTAATTTCCATATGACATTTTTGTCAAAACTAATTATCAAACGATCAATAATTTCAACAATCTGCACAAAACCCCTTCTGATACTGATCAATAATTTCCTTTAGTATATAACTGTTTTCTTCTATCACACAAACTTAGCATTTAACGTTTTATCATTTCAGACAACTTCTGAATTAATTTGATTTATATATGGTCTATACTGAAAAAATGTTTGTGAGGTTGATTGAACCTACGTACTTAATCAGTTTTTAACTAGTGATTCACCTGTCTAAACCTGCTCCGCTATTGTTTGAAATACTAAGTAGTATATCACGTTGTTACATAGTATGACTCAGAAAGACATGTGTATGGCTAATGAACTGTTGTGCATCTTGAAGATTTTGTTTTAAATTTGAAACGTTATAATTTAAACGACTGTACAGTTACAAGCTGATCACTGCTAGAATAATTGCCAGTTAACTGTTGTGTTGACCGTACAGTTCTCCCGTGTGCAGATAATTTTCATTTATTGTCAACAGTAATAAAGTTAATTTCAAATCGTCCTTATAAATTTACTTCTACAACTACAGTGAATTAGACTGACTAAAAGTGTTTAGTTTATATTAGGTATCTTAAAAAGCCCAATTAAGACTTTGGTAAATATCGTACCTGCATCTCTCTGATAACATTACGTTGAGACGTTTGTTTCTCATCAATGGTTTTGAGTTTCTCAGAGACATCATTAAGTGCAGTACTTCCTGACTGAACATTTTGAGGACGAACAGAATGAGTAATGAGGTTGCTCGCCCTTGCAGAGGATGACACCACAGTATTTCGTATTTGAGTTGGTATAGAATTTGAACGAGATACATTTGATGTGGATTCAATCGAGGATATTTTTAAGGGAACAATAGGAGTGATTTTTAGACCTGTTGAAGAAGCTGCAGTAGTTACATTTATTGGAGTGGAAGCATTGCCAATTGGTCGAATCACAACAACAGAGCCAGTAGAAACAACCGAATCTCGAGGAGGGGTAGTAATAAAGTTATGAGTTGGGCGAGTGTACTGAATCCCTTTATAGGGAGATAAACGTGACACAACCGTTATGTTCTGAGCTTCAGAAACTTCTGTTATTTGAGGTGCGACCTTCTCCACTCTGTCACAAAAGAATTAAGTAAATTCAATTACTGAAAACTCAAAAAGGAAGCTACGAGATGTGTTACAGTTTGTATAGATGATCTTTGAAAAATATAGGTAGGGTTATGGATAGTTAATATTAAATTGAAGAAATTTGAGCTAAACCTCTTAATTTATTATTCAGAACTATAATTTAGTCGGTGAGTCAAACCCAACGTAGAACGTGGCACATGTGTACATTGGTTCAGCTTGCCATACCGCATCAGTATAGTGAGACGAAATTATCGGGGTAAATCCCAGAGTGGTAGTAGTAATAGTAGAAAAGACTGTGTCCAAACAACGATTCGAGAAGATATAAATCAGTGACGAAAAATATTTACGGGGAATTTAGAGACCTAGAAACTAAGTGAATGCGCCTCTGTGTCATTGCGAACGACCTTGGGCTGTTATTCAATCTCTAATCATTGGTTAAGGTAATCATGCGAAACCCAATCAAGTCGTCTGCACCTACCTACACGGATCAGTCCAACAGCCAGTGTCTTCATGTACTGATATCACGTCTTGCTTTGGCCGCCAGAAAGTCTGAACATTGTTGCAGTAACCAGTCCCCATCCTCTGTTTGCTGAGCTGAGATGATGTAAGACTTACCTCAGTCTTTCACTTTCGTTTAGCCTACCTAATTAAGCGTGAGTCTCCTGCTACGATTACTACTTCTGTAGGAGAGCAGAGAGATTCCCATAAAACCCAATCTTTACTTCTTCCGAACTGCGGTCAGTGCGAGCGTAGAGGGATACGACAGTGCATGTTCCCATCTTTCCGTGTTCTCGCTTCTGCATCTGGTTGAACAGAGCAAAGGCGACTATCTGTTGGGATTCAATTCATGAAAGCCTGTCCCACGTTTGAACTTAATGGTATGCTAACACCATCAAGGCAACGAGAGGCGGCATTCAAGTCTTTGGATACACGGAGAGTAAATCGTACGGTTTCTATGTATTGACTAGATAAAGTTAAGTGGATGGTCACACTTCGATCCTGCAGGATGTTTCAGAGACAATATACATTAATGATGACAGATTCTAGAATCTTAGCTAAGAGAGCCTGTTGGGCTATTTAATATAAGGTCTGAACACTAAGACCCCTAACGTGTAGTTTACAGAGAGGTTTCAAGAGACTGGAAATAGCCTCGCAAACTCGAATAGTTAGCAATGATGATGGATATGAATGAAGTAATAGGAGAGAGGTTGGTGGTGGGGATAAAAACAATAGCGTGAAGTGAAGAGGGGATTTGACCGTGAAAAGATTTCTAGTGATATTAGAGGTATGAGGGGTTTTTTCACTACCTGCTTGCCACAAAGTGCAAGTTAAGCTAGATAGAAAGGCAGCTGATATTGCAGTGTTTATCAATATAACCTCGGGAACCAAAGAACTAACTTTTAATTATATTCACTGAATGAGACCCATTCAGTTAGGTGGTTTAGTTTAAGCATGAAAAAAACCGAGAGCTGAAATTTTGAAATAATAATCGCTCTATTTGATGGTGGGAAACACACAGATAAAAAAAAACGTAAAAATCAAAAAGATATTATTGATGTACAGCATTCTTAGTTGAAATGTCAGTGTGAAAGCTTTCAAACACATTAATCACATTATTGAAGCACACTGTATCGACATGTTACATAACATGTACTTTACCTCTAAGGTCAGCGCACATAAAAATTTATATTGTAGAGCGAAAAATAGCATTATAGGGCAGTAAGTGAATTTTGGTTGTTCAGTTCAGTCAGTCAGCTACAACGTAGGACCAGGCAAATATACCTCATTAACCCAACAAGATGAACACCAAATTCATAGAAGTAGTTAATTCAGAGGTGCTAATATATATAAAGATTGCAATAAGGATATAGTACAGGAAGAAAGAATTAGTTAGTAGAAAGAAAGATATGAAGCGACTTTAATCTCATAGTTTAAGGGAAGACAGAACTTGTATACACATACGCCATTGTGATTGATTCTGAATCATGTCACTCAGAGTCTCCAACCATTGGTTACGAGTCACGCAGACCCAACCAAGTAGTCTGCATCTACCAACGTGGCTCAGACTAGAAGTTAGTGACTTCAAACACTGATGCCACGTTTTGGTGATAGCAACCGATGGTTAGAGACCCTGAATGACATGGCTCAAAATCGTTTGCAATGGCGCAGGTGCATCCACTCTTTGTGTTCTCCCAAATTCTAATATTCTGAATTCTTCATGTCCCTTTCTTTTTTCTCTTTCCAAATTTATTTCACTGGATTATACTCCTTGAATAGCATCTTCAAACCCTAATTTTTCTGATAACAGCTTATAATTTTACTACATCTAGCACTACGGGATTTGAATAGACCACCGCATCTCTGTGCTAATGTGGTGTGGCAACTCGAGCTGATGTACGTACGTACGAAGTCAGTCAGTCAGTCAGCTACAACGTAGGACCAGGCACATATGTGCATCGGTTCAGGTTGCCATACGGCATCAGCACACAAGATGAACACCGGATTCATAGCAGTGGTTAGGTCTAGGTGGTAATATATAAGAGAAAGATTGCATATAGAGATATAGTGCAAGAAGAAAAAATTGGTTCGTAGAAAAAAAGGTCTGAAGCGATTTTAATCTCTTAGTTTAAGAGAAGATAGGGAGTGTATACACCGATGCCACTGTGATCGATTATGAGCCATGTCACCAAGAGTCTCCAACCATTGGTTACGACAGTCCCGCGGACCCCAACCAAGTAGTCTGCATCTACCAACATGGCTCAGACCAGAAGTTAGTGACTTCAAGCACTGATGCCACGTTTTGGTTTGGCCGCCCCTAACTTTCTTTCAACCATCTCCAATACCGGATAGCATTGCACGTCGTGGCAATCGGTATTCAGGCATACGTAACACGTGGCCCAACCATCTCAGTCGATGAAGATTCATAACCTCATCAACTGATTTACCATCATTTCCTAATACCCTGCGTACGAAGTTCTACGTTGTTATTGACTGACTGAGTATGTAGGAGTAGTTGATTAAATAGAATAAAGGGACTTTAGCTGATCCATGTACACTTTTGCATTAGAATTATAACAGCTAACTAAGCCGAAGTAAAACTTAAAGGGTGAAGTAAATGTTAATTTGCACAAAACTTATTGTCAAACGAATATCTAGACCATTAGTTATAGCTCTACTCATTTGAGTAAATTACATTTTTTAAGAATTATTCCCACCTCTGAGCAAGATAACGAGGAAATTTCATGTGGACTATAGATTCTTTACACAGAATCTTTACATAATGATCTATCCGTTTCTAAGCGTAAGGAAATACTAGGGAACTTCCAATTGTCACTATAAAACAAAAATGTTTAGCACAATACGGGGTCAGAATCTAGGCTACAGAGAACGGAACAACAACACTATGAAGAAATATCCATGGGAAAATGACTACTGGCACACCACCAACCTCACAGGTAAACACATAAGAGATGATGAGAGCTTGGTTGGGATCTTGAATATGGATCTCGTTGAAACAACACAGTAATAGCGAGACTTTCCATAGATGTATTAAGGACTGCGTATTACATGACTTGGATTTAAGTATAAACATCAATGGTATAAAGTTTAAGTACTCATGGTTCTAGAACAGCCGGATTAAATTTTGCGCATGAATACGGGTTTCACAGATCTATTACTTTGTGACTTAAGACTGTATGGATAGGACACAACTCTTAACAAAGATCAGGTGTTAAGTGGAGTAAGAAATAACATTTTAACAGTATACATCACATGTATACTAAGTTTTATTTATTTTATTTTAACACATGGATATTGGTACAAGGAGGCACCAAATACATATGCGCCACATATATCATTTGATATATGTGAGGGCTGTGCTGTTGCCAGGGTGCCCAAACCAAAGCAGGTGGTGTTCTTAGGGGGCCACTCCCCGAGCTTTCGACCTGAAGGTCTGATCCACAAGGCAGTGGAGCATCATGAGGAGATGCAGTCCCATGGTAGCCGGTGACCAACGATTGGTTCATACGCCATTTGTTCCCACAGGATACTGGAGCCCATGTGCATCATTGGTTTGGAATCAGGGTGGACAAAATGACCAGTCTATAAAGGGAGTTTTCGTGTTGTGGCAAATTTTGTGTTGGTTGTGATACTGCCTGTGAACCTAAACAGAAGCAAGTGGTTTTTAATAGACACAACTGATCTTTTGATCAGGTTTAATCCAAGAGGAAGTGGGACAAGGTCAGACGTGACGTTCCGGTAGTAGGTTACCAAAATAGGTCTACATGCCGTGTTTTCTTTCAGTACTTCGAAGTACACATGGATCACTCGTATGGAATCCAAATTTATCTTAGTGGATCTTTTATACTTAATAACCTGATGGAATCGGCAAACTTTTGTTTTCATCACTTTCCTTTTGTGAGAACACTTTTGCAATACAGGAAATAAGTACAACTTTTCTGAAAACGAGTGAACATATGAGAGTACTCTAAGATGAGTGCTTTCCTCATCAACTGTAAGAGAACATGACAGAGTATATAAAGTGAAATTCATCTAACAAGCACGGATTTTTGTATCCACGCCTCCAATGTGTGGGACAATAATAATGTCAAACTACGATAGATGCGATCTGATACTTTGATTTAACGCTTCCTCTGGTTTGTGTTGACCAGTTTATGAGCGTTTGTTATTCGGAATAAAGAACCTGTGTATTCATGGTGATAGGGACTGTTTGAGTCAACGTTAAAGATTTATCATATATTGTGGTATTTCCAAGGTAGGAAATTCTTATTGTAAAAGTTAATTAAGCGTTTAAGCTCAAATACTTATGGAGTATTGGCAAGAGGAGATAGCACTTAGCTCAGACAAGACGTCCATTTCAAAAGGGGAATGTACTGCGCATCAATTTACTCTGCAGCGTGCTACAGCTGGGGCCTGGCTCGTAAAGGGAGAAGCTGTATGGGTTGCCAAAACTTTACCACGGATGCTTTAAAGTGTTGGTGTATGATAGTGCAATCAATTTTTTCGTGCTTGACAGGTGGCAATTACGTGGAAGCTGTGAGCTTTCGCCAACTAAAATGGTTGGGGAATGAGATACGCACATAGAGCTATCAAATGCTCCCGACCGTTGCTGCTACCTTGACGTGGTGGTCGGGCTTGCCTATCGTGATGAACCAACCGAGCTATACTGGATGGAACAACTGTTCCTCAAGGTCCTACCATGTCATACAGGTCGGTTGAAGAGCGGTAAGACTAAAAGCAACAAATCCAAGGTCAGAGGGCGAAGTCGTACTACTGACTGCACAGTGGTGTGACGGCAGTAAGGTGTTTCCCTCAGACAACCAGCATAACAGCAATGCTGCATTCCCACAAAGGAATGGCGAGGTTATAAAGGGTCATCCCTAAAAATGAACACCTCGCATTATCTCACGGATACCCGTTTCCGGCGGTAAGGTGCCAACAAGTACGGAGATAACACGAAGAGTACTCACAAAAAGGGCGTGCGTGACAGACCTCAAGCAGTTGTTTTTTGGGCACTGCAGTCGCGCTTTCAGGCCACTAAGACTACCCCTAATTCAATAACTTTTTCAGGTACCTCCATAAGAACCCTTTCGTAGTGTGGGCAGTCGAGAAGTGATAACTGTCCTCATACCTCTAACAGCACTCAAGTCTACATGCTGAGGTAATTTCAGGTGTAAACTATTTAGTTGTGGTCAGCACAATTATTGCGATCGAGTAACACGACTCAGAATTAGTCATAGTGGCAGAGACCTGTTCAATATTACTATTAAATTTTGTGTCATGATGTTAATTTATACATAATATACCTTGATTGCTTCCTCTCGGAGAATTTTTAGTGGATTTAAGTCAACACAACGATTTGTAGTTTACTAGCACTCCTGATATATATATATGGAAACCTCAGGACGAAATCGATTACAAACCCAAACAATACAACTGTGAGGCAATAAGATGAGGTATGTATGAAAACTATGGCTAACATAGTTTTGTACAATTCAGTCTAAAATTTTCGAAAATATGACGTTTGGCTTCCTAAATGACTCAATCAGAACGTTATAGTATGCAAATGGAAATCGAACAAATGACAATATTTACATGTTAGACAGCTTTATTTTTTACTAGTAATGATGAGCAGACTTTGACCATTATTAAAGGGGGGAAATGGGAGGTGAGTGAACTTGATTTTCTAGGGGAAATATGCACAGGCGCTACACTGTCTAACAAAATAAAGATTTACAGCTAGTTCCACTAACTTCAAGGTAAGAAAGCGCAACACAAACATATTTCTGCACTGTCGGGAACTTCGGTCAGACTAACAGAATTAAATGGAAAACGACTTGGATATGAACTGATATTGGAGCAATTAACTGAGAACCTACCTTATTGGTGTGAGGTTCGGTAACCCAGACATTTGCTGGCTGCTAAAGAATTATATCAAAGTGACTAGATCTTTATGAAGCAATTCCATATTTCTGGAAAGGTTGGGAGTAACACAAAAACCCCACTAGGAATCGGAAACTTGTTGAGTACTCTGTAGAGATAACTTAAACTGTTTCCTGGAAGTTAATAGGTCACGAGTAACTATGATGAAAAACCAGATATAGGAAGTAGCCGCCAGACGATTTTTTGGACAGTTTTGAACTGACCGCACCTTGTGTGAGTGGCCTTACGCATACATAAACTTCGTAGTTCAAACGCCAATGGATTTTTCTATGGGTATCAGAAAAGCTTTCTTGATTATAGAAAGACATAATAACTGCTTTCTTCTTTTTAAAAATAAAGGGTAAGAGCATTATTTAACGATTTTTGGACTGAACATGGAATAACACTGAGCAATTTCCTCCAGTTGAAACTTCACAATAAACTATTGTCACTATTGCAACCAACATGAAGTTCCATGACAAAGAAATCGTAATCACGAAAGATTCGCGATCTATCTTAAATACGTCTTCCCGAATGAGTTTTGAAACTGAATTGCATAGCTGATATGTTGGTATTCATAAGAACCTTAGTGATTGTAGTATTTATGCTAGCTGATGACTCTTTTGTACTTGATTGGGTGTTGGTTATGAATTACAAATGTAGTACGTTCATTTTTGCTCATCTGGTTCCACGTTAATCAAACAGCACTGTAGGGGATGATACTATGTCAAGCCCAGATAGGTTATTATAGCCTCTGGACGGGTGAATTTATTCGCAACTCAACCATGTAAACTTAATGTATCGCCCAGTGTAATAATGGTCATTTGTACGTTTAAGTAACCACAGATTTTGTCATTTCAATATGTATTTTTTTATTGAATAACTAGATTGTGTTTTTAATTTTGCTCTGTTTTGAATTTTTATTCCCCACGTCTGACTGCGTTACACTGTACGTTCATTGAACGCTGGAATGATATCTCAATTCATAGTTAGTTTAATCACTTAGTTGATTGTCTCCAGATAGACTGTAGGTGCATGATGTTACTGAAGAAATGTTTGTTGTACCGTAGACTATGTTTTTATGAACAACTGATTGTTATCTTCAGTCTGAAAGCAATATATATGTATCCTTCGTCTTCTGTTAGGTAAGTTCAAATGGCCTATATTTCGTGTTTTGGTTTTATCGGCTGAAAAATGTTCATTTTAGTCCGTTTAGCAACATGTCTGTGCAAATGGAACAATAATTATGACACTTGCTTAGTTTAGTATTCTTGGTTGCCGTTATACTTTAGATTAGTCGATAGGATTATGGTATACTTAAGTATATTGCTTGAAGCCTGTGACGAAACAGATTAGTTTAATAAGAAGAGCTGCCTGTTTTCAGTGAGTATACTGATTCAAATCAGTCTGAATAATAACAGGAAAAAACGTGTCGTTGATGCTGTTGCTGTAATATATAGCTTTAAGTACGTTTGGTGTTTATTTGTAGACAGTACGTTTAACACTGTTCATGTTTCTAGACCACTGTCATTAAACAATTTCCCCAGCAATAACATCGGTGGCAGGATAGCTAAGTGTCTGAGCTTTTATTTGCCTGCAGAAGAGCAGTATACAGTCTTAGAAGATGAGTGTTCTTTGCTAAAAAACATGTAATTTAGTCATTTATCTATTCCACATTTCTGACTAAATTCATTACTATTTTCTCATTTAGAATGCAGCAGGAGTGAGCCTTCACAGATCCTACGAACTGTTTCGTCTTTAGAACTATGGCCCTATGAAACTTTTTACGGGAGACCCAACGAACAGCAGATTATAAAAAGGATGCTGGATGTCCATTTTAGCCTCACAACCACTTCCAGTACTTTTTGAGTTACTTCTTTTACCCTTTCGTTTGGAAAAAAACAACACAGATTGAAGCCTAACGTTACCAGTGCAACTTTTAGACGGGGACTTTGTTTAAACCTTTGTTTGATATTCGATTCTTAATGAAAGTTCCTGAAAAAATTTTTAAATCCAATGCTACTTTGTTTTATCTATTTAATCATTGCAAGAAACTTGTGATATATGAGCCTCACAGCATCTGGTTCATATGTAGTAAATTTAAGTGATTTAGTACATATCTTCGTCATTTTCTTGGGAAACCTACAGACTCCGGTCCTCTCATAACTTATTCTAACCACCATGAATTGTCACGACAGCTGATGGATGGACACGCGTTACACATCCTAACCGTACCTGCGTCTTACCTTATAGCTTCTAATTCAAATGCCATATGACAAGCAAGCAATGCCCTTACCCGCACTAATGGAACACTAGTAACTCGAATGCACCCTATATGGTACCTTACATTGGTCTACGCACTCGCTTAGCTTTTTAGTGTGAATATTACTACAGTCCAGCTAAAAATCCCATGAACCACCCTATATCCATCAAAACAAATAAGTCTGTATTTGCTGCATATAGCAAATTTATTTCTCAGAAGATATAGCAGTTAGAATTGGAGTAAAATTGCAGTATACAGCAGATGCACATGGTACATGTCTTCATCGATTAGCTGAAATAGAGAATACGGATATTAGCTTAACAGGCTTATTTAGAAAGACTAGTGTCTACTTTGAACTTACTGAGAATAATATACTGGAACTACGAATAATGTAGGGATCTGGTCTCCCAGGGCGTACGAAGCACTCAAACTGGAAGACAGTTGTCCGAAAATAATTCGAATATGAAGGTGAAAATTTGCGGGTACTTTTCATCGTAAGGGTGAACATATTAGGTACCGGTTGACATCATACCGTAAAAAAACATATTTGCGAGTGATGAATTTGATCCATAACAAAGTGAGCCTAATAACAGTTAATTACCTTTTTACTCCCTGATCATGACACTTCGGCTTCCTTTTATGGCCAAAACAGTAAACATACACTACACACTGGCAGCAGATTTCCGGCTTTTCAATGTTAAGCTTGCTTTAACGCACGATATAATAAGTACAATCCCTCTATTACTGCTATATGACACATTTTTCATAACAAACCCTCTGCAATAGATTGGTAGGATCTGTGACTTCATCTACGGTTGTCGGAAGTCTGGGTCCTTCCGAAAACAATACTGATATCCCCTACTGCTGGGCACTGTACATTAGTTTGACTCGGTGGGATAGTGTTGTCCATAATACTGAAGAAAATTGAAAACCGGAGATTGTTTCCTTTCATTTTGCTGATAACGTCAAAAAGGACAGTTAGGAACGAACATGCAGACAGTTAGAGTCACAGACGGCAGTAACAATTATTTTAGCGAAAAAAAAGAGCTTCGGCTTTAGATACCTAGAAAACAAGTCAAAACAAAACCGATAAGGCTAGCCAGCTTGGCTGAAGAAATGCATTGACTCCAGTAGCAGCAGCCAAAACCCAGAAAACAAAGCAGAATTAGGAAAAATTTTGCTCCAACATTCAGAGTATTACATTAACTTCCGCATTTTAGCACAGTGAAACGTTAAATTCTGTAGCTACACAAAACAAGTAGCTGAAAAAGTACAGAACGAAGAAAGTCGACCGCCGTTGCTAACAAAGATGGCGGATATAATAATTCCCGCCTCATTCTGACTGGCTGACAAGCTGAAGGCCACATTTACTAAATTGAGTTGCGTTTAATAGCAGCCCTCTGGACAGATAATTCTCTTCATTCTTCTCGAGCCATATTTTTACACTGTCACTCATTCGCTTATCAGCCTTGACTGTTTTCATGTGAGTGTGTGCGCACTTTTTATCCTATTTATCATACGTCTGTAATTTATTTTTGTTCAATTAAAACTAAAGTAAATCGAGTTAGCTCACTTACTTTTGTGTCAGTTCCGCTATTCTCTCGATTCGTTTCCTTCTCTGCAATCTCTGGTTGTCTGTTCAAATCCAAGTTTGCAGGAAATATACGTGTTTAAACTTTTGTTATTCACTAATGCGAGTTAAGTCGATGATTATATACGAGGGTATCCAGGAAGTATAATAATGATAACAATAATCATTCATGAGATCAAACTTAATCATATATAGGGCCAAGAAAGCACTATTTCAAAAATGTTTAGTACATTAGTTCGAATAATTTTAGTTATCAGTGGTGCGATGCGTCGTTATCATATAACTCTCAATCCGTCTCCAAAGAGTTTAATACATTCGGTCAGCTGAGTGAAAAGAATTACCCCAGAAGTTTAAGATGGATACATCATGATGTTTTATCATTAACATCGTCGATGCGACTCTCGATGAACGAAAACGTGTGTACTATATCGTAAGTCAGGTTGAACGAAAACATCGGTTGATTGAGGTCGAGTGGAAGCAGGTTTAACTGAACGCATTGCGTTTGTAAGCCTGTTCGTGTAGGAGGTTAGATCCATGTTCATTGAAGAGGACGAAGGATCCACGAATTCTCCTGGAAGTCTAAGTGTCGTTCCATAAACGAGTTCAGCCGCAGTGTATCCAATGTCAGCTTTCACTGCATTGCGGATACTTAGTAAGACAAGTGGAAGAGCGTCGGTCCACTGTGAAACGTTTGCAGCTGATAGAGAAGCTTTCAGTTGTTGGTGAAAGCGTTCTACCAACCCGTTTGCTTGTGGGTGGTAGGCAGTCGTTCGGAAGCGAGTGATTCCTAGGAGTGTGGTCAGACGACGGAAAAGTTCAGATTCAAACTGACGTCCGCGGTCTGTAGTGATGGTTGAAGGGCAGCCAAAGTTTGCTACCCATCGTTCGACGAAGGTGCGGGCCACTGTTTCAGCAGTAATGTCTTTGATAGGTACTGCTTCTGGCCATCGAGTGAAACGGTCTACGCAAGTTAAAAGATAAACGTATCCATTGGAATCTGATAAAGGTCCTACCAAATCCAGATGAACATGGTCGAAACGAGCATCGGGAGTTTTAAACGAGCCTAAGGGACATTTATTGTGTCTGATAACCTTAGATTTTGGCAGCTTACACAGGAGCGTGCCCACTCCTTCACGTCTTTATTCATACCAGGCCAGCAAAACCGTTTTGCCATAAGCTTGATGGTTGCACAAACACCTGGATGAGAAAGTTTGTGCAATGTATTGAAGACATTGCGTGGATAATGTTTCGGCACGATTGGGCGATCCCTACCTGTAGATGTGTCACAAAGTAAGGTTTCCTTACCTGTTCCCATCTGTTTGATGCGTAGTTTAAGTGTTGTGGACGATAACTCGTGCTGAAGATCAGTGTCTTCTTTTCGAAGCT